AGCCGATGACTTAAGCTAGTCAAAAAAGTTTTTTATGTATTCTGCCGTTAAGTCATATTAGGAACTCTATTAGTAACTCTCATTATAAATTTCAGAATTCTAGCCCATTCCGCTTGTCCAATACAATTTTGCACGAATAGAAATGTTTTTATCATTTGCATGTGTATTTAAATCTATTTTAAGCGGTGATATTTATCGCAAAGGAAAACATGCTTACAGGTACTCCCTACGCAAAGGATTTTTAAAAAAATAAACATAGCAAAGTTCGAGAAACCCATTGATAACCATCACGCAATGATTCTAATCCGACCTTTTCCTTGACTGAACAACTCAAAGAAAAAGAGAACAGATAGCTAAAGGTGAGGCGCCTTTTGATCAGCTTAACAAACGATGAGGCCATAGCAAAAATACAGATACTCAAAGTCAAGTCTGCTACTGGCAACCTGACGGATATTCATGCCTCTAAAAAAAATCAAAAAGTTCCTAAGGTATTTGCAATATTTTTCCCTCCTGCCCACATTACCGTTTTAAAGATCATCGTATTTTATAGTTTTCTGTTTGTTTCTTTTTTTTTGTCAGAAGAACAACAGCAACGAAGACAAATCTGGTAGCCAGAGATCTGATTACATTAGCAGATAATTCATAATCCATTGATCCTTTTTTGTGGGATTAGTGATGAGCACCGTCTATTTCACTCTCTCTTTCTCTTTCTTTCACTCTCTTTCTCTATTTCTTCGTCTGTTTGTTTTGAAAAAAAGATTTGGCCACACTCTCTGGCTATTTTTTCTTCTTTCGATATTGATCCCGGGGATTTGTGCGAATTTAATTAGGGCAGTTGCTATTTTGAAAGCAGGTCTAAGGTAGGATCAGTGTATTGGCGCCGATGTTACTTTAATGATAATGTTTTTCCTGTAGATCTCATCAAAGAAGCTGTGAGTGAAGAGTATGAATGTGATATTGAAAAGCGAAAATATAAACGATAGAGAGCAGAATATTATTGAGTTTATTAGCCGAACAACAGGTCTGCACGATTTCTTCAAGGATCTGTACTTGTGTCTTGAAAACAATTTTTTGAAAAACTATTAAAATGTTAAACTATTTTGTGATGGTCAGAAATGTTTAAAAAAAAAATTAAAAACAATGGTCCTATAAGAATACTACTTTTAACAGTTTGAAAATAAGTTGAAGTTCAAGTTACAATTACGTATTTTGAGAGCAAAGTTAGTAGAGCAAGTTCTATATAAATCCGGCCAGTATGCCCTTCTGCTTCCAAGTTTGCAGTCAAAAACATAATTGTGATTTGTAAATCAAATCACAATAGAGGAAAACTTCTAAGTTTAATTATTTTTACATGTAGTCGATGTTTTGTAATGTATAACAGCCATGGTAGAAGAACAGCTGCTGGGACAATAAACTGTCAAACCAATTTCGAAATTGAAAATGTTGAATGAGAAATTATTAAAATTTGTAAAAGTTTTTGAAAAAACGCGAATTATAAAAAACATTTAAAATTTTTTGACATATTCATGTTCCCAATCGTTGATGCATCTACCTGTATTATTCTACCACAATAACAGCGTTATTTTTTATTATTAGGCAAAAAATGTTCACATTTAACGGCAGTGACATTTTATATCAAAAAAAAATAATCATCAAAATGGAATTAAATCCTAAAACGTTGCATCGAATTTGACACTGGTATAACTATAGATTAAAATCAGCTGGAGATTGTGTCAATTTGAGACAATAGGTATGTTTGGTTACTTTTTTAAATAGTCCGGCAGCTTCTTTCTGAGAGAGTAAGGTAGTTTTTTTCTCTTTCAAGGTAAACAAACAAAAATCCTGCAAAAACTTGCAAATCATCAGCTGATGTGACACAACAAACCAAACTTCTCTCTCGAACCCATGGTAGAAGAATATATGTAGACGCATCGACACAGCTGATGGGACAATGAACTGTCAAACCAATTTTGGATTATAATGTTGAATGAAAAATTATTTAAAATTGTAAAAATTGTTTTAAAAAGACGTCGAGACGACGAAGATATAAAAATCTACTTATATTTGAAAGAACATTTATAATTTTTTGATATATTAATGTTCTCAAGCGTTAATGCATCTACCTGTATTATTCTACCATGCTCGAATCGCAATAATTGTTACAAATTTTAGGGTAACCACATACACCTAATATTCCCCTCGAAGTTAAATACCCTTTCACATTTACAAACTTGTGCAGCACTTTATAATATTGTTTGCATTTTTTAATACATTTCTATTCCGAAGGATAGGAAATTCGGAATCTTGCTTCAAGTGGCAGAATAATTTTTCCACAACTTTTCGAATTTTCGAAAAGCGAAAGTTAAATAATTTCCCCTTGCCTGGAGAGTAAATTGATAATCGGAATGGCTTTATAAGATATTCCAAAGGTTGTAAAGTTTTTTTATACCCTCCACCATAGTATATAGTATTAAGTGTAACAGAAAATTGCATATGCAGGTCCAGATCTTCGTATAGCCTCCATAAAACGGTGCTTCTGTATCGGGTATTTTGCTGATTTCAGAGACATTATACACCAGAACGGTTTCAAATTTGCACTTAGTAATTGGTACTACGGCTGTGACCAAAATTGTATAGCCATAATATAACGGTACCTCACTATATTCGGTGTTTTGATGTTTTTGCGACATTACTCACCGATATTGTTTCAAGTTTCGTATTTGACAAAAATTGCCCATGTACATCCACGTTTACGTATGGACCCCAAAATTATGGCAACTCCCTATATTCTGCATTTTAAAGATTTTTACAAAATTGTTAACGATTTTTTTTTAACATTACCAAGTTTGTTGCATTTGGTGGAGGTTATTCACAGTTCGGCCCGTTTTACTTGTTATTTACATATAAGAATAGTAACACCGTTAAATGGCTACTAATAGTCCACTAAAGCCAACAGGACCATGGAGTACCAACCTTTAAAATTATAGTGGTCATATGCCTTATTTTTTTGGAGGTTTGACTTCAATATGTCATTTGCCAAGAGAAATTTTGGTGTTTTAAGTTCTCTGATAGGATATAATTTATTTAGAAAAACTTACCAAGTGCTCCAAAGAACGAATCCTTTGGCATTTTCATCAATTTTTCCCCAGTAGCAATGTCGCAAGGCAGATAGTCGGAAGATAAAAGTTGTCACACATTTAAGAAAAATGAATGAATTTTGATGCAGATCGTAGCGGCCTATTACAGTGTATTCGGCGGGAGACCTCAAAGTGTACATGCTACTGCATTATTTTTTTACGTTTTAATGAATGCAGTCGTTTACATAGGATTTTAAAACATTCTCGGCTCATGCGAACGGTTTCTTTAATAAAGCTTTCTGTTTATTTGGGTTAGCATGTATCAGCCAGAGGGTATCAAAAGAATACACTACTTACGAATTTCCATATTATCTTGCTCCCTTCGTTTTTTGATTAAAATGATAATTTTGAACAAATTTTTCCTGTTCCAAACTAATAAATTGCAGATCTTGTCTGTTTTTCTGCATTTGAGCACAAAACTGAAGAAAAAGATTTATGAAAATTTCAAGTTTTTCCTTTTAACGGATGGAATTTTTAATTTGAATGTTTTTCTCTCTCAGCGGCATGTGTTTTATATTCATTACAGCATTGCAGGACAAGTTTTAGAAGGTTCCAGAAAAAAGTTCGGAGCCGTATGTGCCACTTTAATCATTACTAGTAATGAGTAAGCCAAAAAATAGTTATTCCCATGGTAGAATGAGGAGGTAGAACAGCTTCGTAAAACCACAGAAATACAGCCCTGAGGTTATGCCCGTCAGAATTGTTCAATTTATATGCAACAAATTGCTTTCATGTATTTGATAATTTTCTTTATTTTAAAATGAGTGAAATAGAGCGAAAAACGATTAGAATGCCTGGATTTTGTTTCAAAAATATGATCCATGTTAAAATTAGGCATTCCCATCTTTGCATTTTCTGTAATTTACCTTGTCAAATTTCTCTGCATATAAAGCAGGTTCCATCAGTATATATAATGTATATATATAATGTATAATGTTTTTACAAGCATAATTTTAACAATGAGATTTTTTCAAATGAATAATTTTGAAAAAAAATTATGAACATATGATTGCATGTCTTTACCTTCTTCATTCTACCATGATGTGATCAACTGTTCAATCTTTTAATTCAATTTTCAATTCATGGCAAAGCTGATTAATATATTTGCGCGTCCTTTAATTCACGTTACTTTTGTTATTCAATACAATAAATACATAACAAAATTGGCAGAAGTCGGGCACATTTGGAAAAAAATTGTTACCAGCTGATAACTCATGGATACACGCATGGTAGAACTAAGAAGGTAAAGTCATGTAATCATATGTTTAATTCTTTTTTTTTCAAATTTATACATTTGACAACATCTCATTGTCAAAATCTATATTCATAAGACCATTGCATACACACAAAATCAGAGATGGGAACTGTATTTATGCCTTAAAATTTGACATGGTAAATTACAGAAAATGCAGAGCTGGGAATGCTAATTTGAAATGAGGTTACCTTTATTTCTTTGTACCATGGATACACGTATCTTCCTTTTTTAGCTCAATTTTCATAATCTGGAGGATTTTCTCCGTAATTATTTTTAGTGTTGCAGTGTTTTTGCTTTATAAATTTGAATATTTTCGAGTTTTTCACACTAGAACGTATACTAAATGAATAAGAAAATCAGCTATTTATTTCTCGCTTTTACCAACACTGTAAATAACGATTGCTCAACATCGACTTACACACCCCTACCTTAGGATAAGCTGTCACCATGAAATTTTAACAGTCTGTAGACACCTAATCAAAACTCTTGTAGTCGGTCAACCAATCCCTTACATTTGCTGGTGTTTTTATTTTGATTATCCATTTTTATTGCTATTTTTCTTAAACCTTCGTTTTCGCAATAAAGATGCCATATTGTTATACGTAAAAAATTTCTCTTTTTGTTTTTGCTGGCTGATACACACTGGCACACACACATACTCACGAAAGCCAAAGAAATTTTGTTTGGTGGTTTTTACATTCCAGCAAATTTATGACAAATAAGGAAAATAGACAACAAAAAAGGCAAACATGTTAACGGCAAAAATTGGAAAAGTTAGTAAAGTTCTAATATGTGGAGCCAAAGGAGTTGGAAAAACGGCCCTGTTGGAGCAGTTAATCTATGGCAATATAACTTTGGAGAGTGTAAGTATAAACAAAAAACAAAGAAATATATTTTTGCAATATGGAAAAAAGTTATTAAAACTTATTTTCTTTTGTAAATTTTAGGAAATACATCCCACCATTGAAGACATTTATGTGGCCAGTGTGGACACTGGACGTGGCGGCCCAAGAGAAACTTTACGCATCTATGATTCAGCTGGCCTATTTCAAGGTAGCAAAGCACAGCTACCACGACATTATTTATATTTCCCCGATGGCTATGTATTGGTCTATGACCCAACAGATCCTCAAAGTCTAGACATGTTGGCCGATATTAAAACAGATATTGACAAGAATAAGGAAAAGAAGGAAGTGCCCATTATTGTGCTGGCCAATATGCGTTCCAAGCGTAAAGATACCCCTCCATCACCCACACAACAAGCCCAAATGCAAAACAATCAAGCCGACCCCGTAGAGCTAATACTGAATCGTGCCAATGCCTGGTGTTCGCGTGAACGTATTAAACACTACACCGTCAATGCCATGGAACGGCCATCATTGTATGAACCATTCATTAACATGTGTGCTAGATTACATCCACCACAAACCAAATCGACATTTCCTCAGTTACGGCAGGTGATGCAGAAAACACAAAAAACGGAAGCATAAGTCTGGAAGGCTTTGGACACGTTCACAGGATATATAACGCAGTATATATCATTAAATTATTAGAGTTTAAGTTTTTATATGATGATAATGATTTTAACAAGTATTAAATCCCTACGAACATACATAAGTACATATATTTTTTTTACAAAAATATCTCATTTTACACAATAACTCGCACATATGATCAATTAATAAAAAGAATGACTATTAACATTTAAATGAAGAATTATTGCCTATTTAAGGAGTCTACTTGTCTAGGGAATGCGTATGGTCTAGGGAATGCGAAATCTTCACGGAAGGATCCAAAATTGAAATATTTGACAAGCTCACGCTGTGTTATTGTTACAATCTGGACAGCTCTCGTAGCGCATCCATTCAGGTATATTTATTTATATATATTAATGAATTAAATCACTGGATAATAAGATTGCTGAACTAGGACTTTCCAAGAGGATAATTAAATCGTGTCCATTACATTTCCAAACTCTTTAGAACTTTTTTGTTGTCGCAAAACTTTAGATTTGTTCTTGACATTTTGTAAAAAGACATCGCATTCTAGTTATCTAATCGATCTAATAATAATTGCTTCTAATATAAATAATTGTGTATTTACAATTTAAGGAATTCGAAGATAATTTGTATGAATGCACAATTTTATGACAAGCTCAGAAAAGAAAATAAATACATAAATTGAATTTGTATGTAAATAAAAATAATAATTAATGAGGAATTGCAATATTCGTGCCATGTAAAGATAATTGGAAGCTCAAAAGGACAATTTATTGATTAAATACGGAGGTTTTTGTGTCGTTGACAGATGAAATTTTAATATTATAGAAGAAGCCACTACATTATTGCCGAAAACCCCTATAGGATAACTTAACTTTTTGAGGATATGAATGAGGCGGAGATAGTTATGGACAAACCCTGAAATTTGTGGACAAATTTAAAGGGAAAATCGATTATCGTAGTAAAAACTTTTACATTCTTGCAGTTCGGGAACATACCAATTTATATCGAAATAGTAATCCGGGAAATTTGTCCACGAATTAAAAGGCGTCTCCATAACTTTCTCCGCCTCATTCATGTCCTTAATAAATTTAAGTTATTCTAGAGGGGTTTCCGATATAGTAGTGGCTTCTTTTTTAATGTGAAAATTCCATTTGTCAAATAGAAGACAAAATAAACCTCCGTATATAATCAACAAAAAATGCTATGTGTCAGAACCTGCAAGAATGTACCATTTTTGCAATTTTGTTCGATGTCATGATGGAAAAATATTAATACATTTTATATACACAAATCAGAGATGGGAACCAGTTTTCAACGAAGTTTAATTTAAAAAAAATATGCAGAGCTGGGGCTGGATTCTTGATCTATGAGAAAATAAAAAAATATTTCGTTTATAAAATTTGTTCGATATCATCGAACATAACATAACATAACATTTTCTTTCTAAAATGTTTAATAGACATTTCTTTTAATATGTACATTGGCTTCGTATCGCCCTAAAGAGCCCTAAAATCCTGCCGTCGTCTTCCATTATAATTTGACTTTAATATGCCTAGCCATGACTTCAAGCTTTTTATGTACTTGCACCCATGGTACAATGAATTCAAGGTAGGGCAGAACTACCATATAATTTCAATTTTTTTATTTTTCTGGCTTAATATGTCAACTTAATTTGTTTATGTGTGCGTATTCTTTTCAATAATAAAAAATTTTTCAGAAAATATTCAAATTCGGGTGTTTTCAAAATGCTTATTACAACATATGCATCGACAAAATCTACAGTTTTTGTCGCGAAATAAACCATAAGAGATATATAGAATATGATTTTGAAAAGAAATTTTGAACTATCATTCAGTTTTCGCGGTTTTAAATTATTAATTCAAAATCAATGCAACAAGTTGTTTGCTTTTTTATTGTTTTGATAGTAATTCTGACATTACAAGCCAAACAGGTAGACCTCTATACTTGCAATTTTTTCAAAGTTGACCTACCTTCTCTTCATTGTACCATGCTTGCACCTTTAGAATTTTTAAAATTAGATGCAATTATTTTCATTTTTAAAATGAATATCAAGCTTGAAAGATATATGAAATGCCTGGATTTTGTTTCAAGAATATGATTCAAAATGTTCAATATTTCATTCCCATGGCAAAAACAATTAATATCTTTACTGTGTGCTCTTTTTATTGTACAATGTACCATATCTACCAGAGCTACCAGCTGATTACAATTTTTTCTGAGTCCGACTTCTGTCACTAATGTGACTGTATTTATTGATTTGCGCATATTCCAAAGTGTGATTTGAAAAATAAAATATTTCCAAAATCAATGGTAAAAACAAACAATTATTGTAGAGCACGCATTAAAGAATTTGACCGGATTTGCCATCGAAGTGAATTGTGAAACAGTTTCAATCAAATTTCTGAAAGTAAATCTATGTATGGAACATCATTTAAAGCAAAATAAACGTAGCATATTCCTTCTTTCCCAAAATTTGTTGGCGAGGTTTCTTTTTTTACAAATTTTTACAATCCATCCCATAATAGCAGTGCAAAATATCACTGTCCGTCAATAAACGGCGTTAAATGCAAAAAAAATCGAAAAATCGATATTCAATTATTCTATCGATTCTTCCATTTTCCACCAACAATCGTACAATTTGATTAGTTGAAATCCAACCTAGTTATCCCTAAAGCTGACGTGAAAAAATAAATTCGAAAGTGTTTTTCACGGAAAATTTTTAATAATCATCTAAATTTGGTAATAATCCAATAATTTAAATATTTCCCTCTACAATAATAATAACAAAACATCTATACGTTGAAAAAACATGAAATATTGTCGCAAAAATGAATAAAAAGCAAAGCATATGGAAAGAAAGAAATATAACTCACACTCGAGAGAAAAAAATCAATGAATAAGTGAATGTCTCTTTCAGTGGAAACGAGGCGACGACGAACGGAATGGAAAACCCCAAATGTCTAGTCAAATGTGCAAAAAATAGTTAATAATTCCATTGAACTATTAGTTGAAGGAAACCTATTTTTCCGTGAAAATTGTGAAAGTTCTTAATTATTAACTTAATGTTTCAGTGGAGTCCTAATCCAGGCAATCAGTCGGTCGTATGTTGATATGTGATTTTGTGTTACGTTGTGGTGATTTTGCTTGCGTTTACGTTGTCGAAGCCACTTTGTGAAGAAAAGCGAAAAAAACCTCCTGTGCTTACGGGTTTTGATTACCCCCCTGACAACTCGTTGTCGCCTGTTAAAAAAATTCAACAATTTTCGTAAGTGTGTGTGTGTGTGTGCACGGTATGTGTGGAGCACATACATTTAGAAGTCAAAGAGAAGAAAAAACAATACAACCGTTCGAACGAGACCGACCAGCTGTGTTGTCTTGCGTGCGTTTTTTGTTTGTTGTTGGTGTTGATATATATTTTTTTCAACGACCATTACTTTTGGCTCCCTCCCCCTTTGCTTTTTTTCTTCGTGTCTTTTTTATTTTCTCACACTCAGTGCAGTAACAGCAACAACAACAACTTGGCTATCGTTATTGTCAAAATGTGCTCTGAGAATGACATGTTATAGCGTTGCCCAATTGTTAGCATCAAATTTGGACACGAATCAATATCGATGAATATAGCTGCCAATAATTTAATTCGATTTGATATCGATCTCAGTTCTATTACCCTATATATGTATATGTATATATTGCTATCTTAAGTTAAAACTCTTTAATTTTTAATTTATATTCTACACCGGCGTCCGTTTATGAATATTTGTCATTTTTATGACGTGTTATCAAAGAAAATGGCAATCTAGTTAAGGCGTTTCATGAAATTTTGACCGGTGCTAATTGATTTATGCATATAAATTCCGCAGGTGTTTTTTTTTTCATACCCTCCACCATAGTATGGAGGGTATATTAAGTTTATCATTCCGTTTGTAACACATCGAAATATACATTTTAGACCCCACAAAGTATATATTCTTGATCAGCATAAAATTCTGTGTCGATTTAGCGATACCCGTCCATCTATCCGTCTTTGGAAATTACTCTAGCTTCCGAACGAAATTAAGAAGTTTGATAAAATTTTACTCAAATGTATATTATGTCTGCAGGACTTTTGGTATTGAAATGGGTTATCTAGGTCCACGTCTTTGACTTGAATATTGTAATAGCTTATGACAAAAGTTGCCTACGTCATCGTATAGACCATAAAATAACGACTAAATTCAGTATTTTTAAGATTCTAACCGAATTTTTAACGGATTTTATTTTTTTGAAAATTACCAAATTTGTTGCAAATGGTGGAGGGTATTCAAAATTACAGCTTTTTTACTTGTTTTTTTTTTTTTTTTTTTTTTTTTTTGAAAAAAGTAAAGGTCACTTTCTTGTCCATTTCAAATTTGTTTTTTATTCAGATTTGGATATAGCTGCCAAAAAAAAAATTCGATTTCAGGTTTATTGTGCGCCAAGGATTTAATATCTTCTTGAGCGATATAATTTTAGCACGGATCTACAAGATATGTGCTTCATCCGATTTAATATTAAAGCATTCCCTGCGGTACACACATCTGAGAAATTTTCTTCCACATCGGTTCAGATTTAGATGTAGCTACCATTTTCATTTCCTTTGTAGTTTAATTCTTGTCTGTCAATATTTAGAACAATCCTTCGTGAATAAGTATTTTATGATATTACTAAATAAAGATCACCCTTGACTTCATCCAAATTGCAATTTAAGTTATCATATAATTCGGCCGCACATTTGTACCATAGCTTTTTAGTATTCAATAATTTTTGGGAAATCATAACAAATTATCCCCCCAAAAAGTAATGAAATCTGTAACAACTAAAATTCAATGTGGCATCATTTTTCACCCCGTTTCTCTCCCTTACAATTATCGGCAGACATACCTTTGCTGGTCATCATCTCTCTGTGAAATGTCAATTTTTTTAAAAGTAAGCAACAGTAGTAACAGGACCACCAACAACAACAAAATTACCACATCCAATCACTTTGTGCGAATGACAGAACATACACAGCGAGCGTATGTCAGACGTTACGGCGAGCTGCGGTCATAAAGAGGAGAGCGAGAGAGTGTGCACAGACAACAGCGACGCAAGTGGATGTCAAACCACGGCACACAAATACTTTGACTACGCTCTACTCTTCAACATATCAGAGAAAAAATTTACCACCTAATGACAACAATAGCCACCAAAGTGTCATTAACAAATTAGTAACAGAAATAAGAATCAGACATCAACTGAAAATAAAGTAAATAAATCGCTTGAAAAACTATTGAAACAACGGTAAACATAAACAATAAATTGACATAAATAGTTGAGATTACAAAGAAAAACGTGAAGATAAAAACAACTAGTGATGATGCTTTTGATGGCCCAGAGAAAGTAAAAGTGTCCCCGTGTAGTGCAAAAAACATATGTTGGCAAAAAAACCGTGCGTATTTAATAAAGCCAAATATATATTTCTTAATTACAAGTGTGAATATATTCTACCACAGTGAATAGAGTGTAAACTATTTTCAAAAAGTAGAGAAAGAAAAATAATGGAGGAGGCATTTACTCTGTTCCCTGTGTGCATTCCTTCTTTGTCTGTCTGTCTACCAATTTCAATGGACGGATGGTGGATGCCGTCGTTTTTTTTTTTTTTTTTTTGTTCTTCGTTCTTATTCTTTTAAGGTTATGTGTGGGGGCTGTATGTAGTCTATCTGTGTGGGTGGACAGCAACAACGGGATGACGTTTTGGGTGGGTTGGATTGAGATTTCAATTGAAATGGTATGTTTTTTTTTGCCAAGATTACGCTATGATATTGTGCTGCTGCTGATGAAGTGTGTGGAGGTGAATTGAGTAAACGTACTTTTTCCTTTTTTTATAACTTGGCATGCGTTTCATTAATTCTTCTTTTAATTGTAGAATTTTGTTTCGTCTGTACGACTGGCTGGCAGTGGGTGTTGGGGGAACCGACACACACATACATACATGATGTGCCATAACCACTGAGCCATGTTAATATGATTTATGACGAAAATCAGATGGGGAATGTGTGACACATATTCATTCCTCTGTTGTGTTTACACACAAAAGTAATTAAGCATTTTGAAAAGACATGATACCCCGAAGCACATCAGAAGTGTGCCATTTACCGTATTTGGTGAAATTATTGAAAACAAATGCAAGTTGGCGAGAAGGCAATAGGTGGTGAAATAGGTGGTGTTGCTCATGGGTAGACAGAGGTGTTGAAGAAATTGTCTTGAAGCAGAGAGGGAAATATTGGAATTCTCCTACAAAAACCTCGAATATTTCCCATAATATTCGGGATTATCACAAGCATAGTGTGGGATTTGCACACAATTCGACGTAATCAGTTTGAAAAATGTATTTCCAAAATAAAAATTAGAACTAAGCCCAGTAACAATATATTTAGTAAGTAAATAATAAATCTTTTTAACCATCAATCGAAGGAGCCAGCATGATATAAGGGTCCGTAAGAAATAGCATATTTGATGGACGGGAGTCTGTAGAATCATGCCTCTTACAGAGGTATTTGTTCCGAATTTACAGAGTGAACGTTATTAACATATCTGCCATATCTCCCGATGAGGATGGAACCCATGTTGTAATGTCGTTATGTAATCTGCATCACCACCAATTTGCAACACTCCCGGAGGGTGCCTATAAGATTCACAGTTTCGATTAGGGAAGTTTTCGACCATTTATATTTTCAATTAATGATAAATCTGCCCCATCTGCTGGTTCATGTCTCCATCGAGGTTAATGGTTTATAGATCAGCTCTTTTCTCTGAGTATTCGCGTATTCTGTCTTTGGTCGATAGGAACAAAGCCCTTTGGTACTTGTGAATTCGTATTGCTTAAACCCTGAAGAGAAGCTGGTCTTCATCGATTGGTCAAGAATTACCATAGGGCGCATCTCTTTATCCGATAAGGAACAATCTTCCCAAAGCCCCTCGGAAGCGCTTACCTAGCTCAGACTCATGCTCTACAGTAGTTTGGGTAGGAATTCTATCATCCTTTATTCATCTGCCCACAGCCTCCCATTTTAGTGGAGTATTTTTTTGTTGTCTTTATTAACGTCACCATCTGCTAAGGGAGATGTAGGCGTGTAGAGGTTGTTGTCCGCCATGACAAAAAAACAGGTATCAACGAAGCTTTAGAAACACTAATTGCAACTCACAGTAAAACTTTTCTCTGTTAAGGCAGGGGAGCAAATGCATATATGACTGCATATAATTTTGGGACCATTGTCACTCTCTCGATTACTTTGAGACAATCTCACTATATCCGCCGAACGTTTATTTAATTCATGGCTACCGTGAAATTAAGAGCGCTTTTGAAACACACTCTATTATGTGGTACCTGAATTTCTACCTTTCTGTGGGAAACAAATCCCTTACAGTCTGGAATTTGGATATCAAATTAGGAAATACTTTTTGCTTACCTGCATTCGATAAGCATAAGAAAGAAATAGAAAAAATATATATCCACACTCCAAATCATTCTTCTACATCAGATTCTGCTGGGACAGAAGTAATTCAGTGTCTTCAAGGTTGTAAAAATACTACTAACTATATAAAAATATAAAAAAAAAAAACCTTTTAAAGGTATCTAAAACTCTTTCCGTTTGAGTCAATTGGTATTATACGTCGGAAGATTTATAAAAGTTAGATTATTTTGAATATTCTTCCTAAATTGTTTATTTCTAACATTTAAACTTTTCCTCTCTCTTCTCAGAATGTCCTCTCCAGAAAAGTTTTAAACTTTTGAATAGAGCAAACAGAGTGAAACACACCGCATACAATAACAGCAACAAAATGTAAATTATCAAAAGATTTGAAAAACAAAAACTAGAAAAGTGTTCCTTAATCCTGATAGCGAATCCAGATATGTGCTTGGCGCAATAATGCTACTCCCCAAACAATATAGAAAGTCCAGCTAAAACGTAAACTAAGAACGAATATTGCACAACAATCGTCCTAACAAAGAACACCCCACAAACTACTACCAGCAACAACTTACTTTAAGCCTCCAAAGCAACAAGAAAACCTACCAACTACACAACTCAATTAGTAAACCGTTTTTCTTTCTATACAAACATATGTTATTTGGTGGGCAATTTTTAAAATTGCAACACCAAAAAACACCAACAGCCAAAAAATTCCGAAATCTTCAAGTTCTGCAACTGCTCTGCAAAAGCTTAAAGCCAAAGCTACTGGCACAACAGTAAAACGACACAAAAAATCAAAGAGCCAAACAGCGGGAACAGCAAATAACCTTGTCGGCGGCGGCGGAGGTTCATCCGTATCGGCATCATCATTACCGTCCTTAGGCTTAGCACAGAGTGGCTCCTTTGCTGGAGTCAGTGGCATCGAACACGCAACATTGTCTTCGGGTTCTTCGGCACAGGGCCACGGTTATAACTATCAACAACGCAGCAGTGGCGCCTACAAAGGTGACCTTGGATTTGGTGGTGCAGGCGGTGCTGGAAATTATTGTGCTGCGGTTAGCAATTCAGCCGCCGGTGACGAAATTCCCGCTACGTTTTCTAAAACAACCGTTTCACCGAATTCGGGTCGGGCATCATCATCATCATATCAGCAATATAATCAAACCAACAACAGCAACCATCATCAATCACAACAACAACAACATACCAATAGTGCCAATTTTACAAATTCCTCCTCCATTTCACCTGCGATGATGATGAAACAAAAGTCCTCACGTTTGAATATCGGCGATGATGTACGTGAGCTGAAGCTAGGATGTACATTCAATTCGAAGAATACAACGAATGCATTTCACACTATAAAATGTAAGTATCAGTGACGATTATTAGACGAAAAGGCAGTCGATTATTCTACACATAATAAAACTTGTATTTTCATAGGAAACCAATTCAGTTTGCGATAAGATGATGTGTGACGTATTATAAGTCAATGGATCTTTTGTTTTTCTTTAATGCCTTGAGTTGAAACGACCTTTTTTGCTTTCAATGAAATTTTGGATATTTTAGACTGCAACGAAAACACAAGACAGTTATTTTTGAAAGATAAGGTTGAAAAAATGGGGAATATATTCATCACGAATCCTTAGACCTGTTATACGTTATTTTAGTTCTTCTATTATGAGGTCCTCTCATATTTGGTTTTGAAAATACAATTTGGTCTCTTATGAGACGACAATTTTGTCTGTTATGAATAGACCTTTAAGCCTTCTATATGAAAATATTTTGCTCTTCTATGTGAAGTCCTATGTGAGACCTATGATGAGACCATTTAGTCTTTTATAAGAAGACAATTTGTTCTCTCATGAGACGAGAACCTCGTCTTTGTTGCGAAGATTTTTTAGTCTTCTATGGGAAGATCTTTTGCCCTTCTATGAGAAGATTCTTTGTTCTTCTGTGAGGAGACATCTTGGTCGTCTATGAGAACACATTTTCGTCCTCTCTGTAAAACATTTTTGTTCTCCATTGAGAATATGTTTTGGTACATTATTAGAGGATCCTTTTGTGTTTAAGGAAGAATTTCGTTATCTTCTGTGTGTTGTCTGTTTTGTCTGCAGGGTGAGATAAAAAAAAACTGCAACAAAGTCAAAAGACATAATTTTTACATTTTTTTTAAAGTTTATTGAATGAAATTGAAAAATTTCGGAAATATCATCAAATTTTAGAATAAGTTTAGATTTTCTAGAATTGGTCACTTTTGGCACGAATTATGGACTTCAAAAAGCCAATGAAACCGTCGCACGCTGCCCGAATGTTGCCCTGCGGAATTTTGGCCCATTTCCGGCGAAGCGCTTGCTTGAGGTTATCGACACTTTGGTATTTTTTAGTGCCAACCTTGTTTTCCAAAATACTTCAGACACAATAGTCCAACGGATTGGTATCCGGGAATTTTGGTGGCCATTGTGCGCTGGAAATGAAGCGAGGAACCTCATTTTGTAAACATTCTTGGGTGGCGCGTGTTGAATGCGATGGTGCTGAGTAATGTTGAAATGTCCAAGGTCTGCGGCCAAAATGTTTGCGTGACCAAGGCTTTAATACACCCTCCCGAACATTTTCGCTATAATATTCGGCCTTTATTCTGATGCCATGGTCGATTAATACGAGCGGAGAGCGACCATCGGCTGTTAGGGCGGCCCATACCATCAGCATGGCCGGCGTTTGAGTTCTGGTAGCCAACCTTTGGCATGTATACACGATCATTTTGTTTGATCTGCTGGACAACGAGTCTTCTGAGTCTATTTTCTTTCAGTTGCGGTGTAAGTTCTTGCACTTTTTGGAATTTCAATGGCTTTACCTCGAGCTCATTTTTCAATATTTGCCGAATGGAATATTGCGATATGTTCAGCTCCCGAGCAATTTTCGGCCACTGTGAGGCGGGTTTCGAACAAGTCGCTTCTTTACTTTTCGAACCATTTCTGCTGATGTTGCTGTTTTCTTCCGTCCAGTATCACGGTAACGAGCGATGGTACGAGACAAAAAGATTTATCCACATTTAAATTCTGGAGTGCTCTAACGATGGCCACTTGCGGTTTTCCAGCCAAATATAAAGAAATCACACTATCACGTTTCAATTCCATCACGAATAACTTTTTTCTGGAAAATTCTTACCAAAATGCTTTTGTACGCTTGTAAACAATATAATGAGCTATCACCGGAATAATTTTAACAGCTGTCGGACGAGTGGCTTGGAAATAACAGCAGTCTGAAGTTGGTTATAGATTTTTATTTCACCCTGTATTCTATGGCCTGTTATCTTCTATGAGAAGAGCGAAAGGTTCTATTTTTTAACTTTCCAGCAAATTATCATAATTGCAGATAGACTGGTTGGCGATCCTCGCGATGCAAACTCAAGCCCGGTTGTACTCCTTTGTAGTATTAAGAGACCTTTTGGTATTTTGTGGAAAGGCTTATTTATTCTAGAGAAAAACTCTTATTAGTTGATCTCTTAGTCTTCTATCGGATGATAATTTCGTCATCTATCAGAAGACAATTGGAAAATATCACCGCTTTCTAAGAGAAGATAGTCAAGTGTTTTATTAGATGCAAATTTGATTTTTTAAGGGTGAGAGTTTTCCTATGATAAGACAATTTCATATTCTATGTTTTTTGTCTTCTTTGAGAAGAAAATTTGTTTTAAGAATAGGCAATTAGGTTTCTATTGGAAGACAATTTGGTATTTGAGCATAAGACAGTTCGACCTCCTTTAGGAAGAGAGAAGACATTTTGATTTTCTATAATTTTTATAAAATCTATGAGAACTGGGTGTTAAAATGAGAGGGAAACCCTACCGCTTCAATTCTAATATCCGGCTCGAAGGACCAATTGCGAGTAAGAAAACACCCGTATGGTTCTCATATCCGGCTCGAGGGATCAAATGTCAAAGGGAGCAGAGAAATACTACAGTTTCGCTCGGGTGTAGATTTAATTCTGATATTCGGCTCGAAGGACCAAATATGTCAATGAGACAGAAAAAGACATCTCTATAATTCGATTGTAGTTTCGATGCTCTAGTTTCATTGAAAACAAATTTCCTTAAGTACTAAAAAAACTAATCTACCTTAACCTTATCGCAGCCACACGGTTCTTATCTATTCTAATATTGAATGGAGAAAATAAAAGGGCTACTTTTCCCTTCATTCAAGTTGTCTAGACTGAATTATTCTACACACGTGATATTTTATGGTGGCTGGGAAACTGATAATTTATTTTTAGTTCTTAGTTTTTCCCATGATTTATACCTCTCCCAAAAAAAATGTACAGAGTACAATAGAACAGGGGACTTTCAAATGATATACGAAAACGGATCATTTTTTTAAACCTAGGTGTTTGGCGACAACCTTGCGCCTGTTTTTTCAAAATAACCATACTTTCAGTTTAGATTATTAGAGATTTTACACATTCGTTTAATAATTTATTTCATATTTTCTCTCTGTTATTTCTTTTCAGATGATTTTAAACCTGCTAGTGTGGATAAAAATCGTGTTGCTACAGTAGATGTTGGCTCAAACAATCAAGTTACTGTTACTGTGCCAAATTTAGGTGAGTCTCAATTGGTTATGGTTCGCATTTAAACGTTTTATATAATTAGCTTAACGATTGCTTTGAGGTTTGGTTTGCTTTAGAAAAGTAGATATAAAACAAAATTGCGAACCATAATAGATTGTATACAAAACATCCGACAAGTGCCACAAAGTCTGGAATAATTTATGACAAATCAGCACAAAAATCCCTTTTCCAAAACGAAATAAGAAATCACCGCAAACGTGCTAATGATATGTGAAACGTGTTATTTCCTCTGGTAAAAGTAATTGGAAACCTTTGTTATTTGAATATAATTCTTTTTTTTTTACTCCATTATAAACAAGTTTAAATGCATTGGCATGCAATGTTAGCAGAATATCAGTAGAAGTCTGCCGACATACATTTTTATATGGTTTGTTGACATGTAAAATTTTGTGTTAATTATGGCCACCAACTTGATTCAGGTTTAAAGAAACAACAACTCTTTTTTTCGCGGCGTTCAAGAACCTTTATTATCCTCAACACACGTCAAGTTTTGAATAACAATATAAACCGAAATGCGGCCAGGTATATAACAATAAATACCACCTGAGCAAGGTAGAGACCAATTTGTATTATGACACCTTAGTTGTGGCCTATTGTGTCTTTATTTCTGCTTAGTTTCAAATCTTTAGTAACACTTCCTCTCATAATTTGATCCACAAATGGCGAACAACCTTTTGTGCAGAGATCCAAAAAACCTGCCGATAAAGTTTTTAGTTTTTATTGGTCTAGTTGCTTTTTTATTTCAAGTTCTTTTTTTCTTCGCTTCAACCATAACATGGCATTCCAAAGTTTGGCACCGCACATATCACCACAGCCGCAACTACCACCACTAAGGCATTGTGGCTATGAAGAAAAAATCCCTTTCACTTTTTTACAGTTGTTTTTTTTTTTTTGTCTTCTACTTTTGGTTGAGCCACTCATTCATTCATTGAAATATTTAATTTTAGTTCCTCTCTTGTTTTTTTTTTTTTTGGGCTGGGGGGAGGCTCAGCTCATTTTGTGGCATATCTGCGTTTTTTCTTCTTCTATTTCTTTTAATTCAAAATGCCAGTAAAATAAAATGGTTATGCAAATGTTGTTTTGGATTCGATTTTCTTGCCGCTCTTAATGTTGTTTTTGTTGTTGTTGTCTTTATTTTATAATGGAATTTCCTGTTTTCATTAAAAAAACGTTCAAATCATTAATTAAGATATTGTGGTTTATACGGTTTCTAGAGAAATATCTTCTTGTTTCTTGACTAAAATCATTACAAGGTTATTTCTTTTGTTTATTACAAAAACATGTGAAATCGCTCAATTGATTGAACATTACTTTTGTAAATGGTTTTTATAACCTACGAAACATTTTGAATGATAATATTGATTGATTAAAAAAGTTAGCAACACTGGGAAATATTCGTCCTAGATCCACCATGCATGCAGCATATCGATTTTCACACCGCGAGGAGCTGGTTCGATCTAGCCAAGCTGTCGTCCCCTGACCGTGTTACAAAAAATGTATGAGAGCAGGGCTAGAAGTCTATAATATTCTGCGAAGATCGTAAAATATTTAGGGGATGAAATGTACCAAAAATTATTGTTTTCCTGATTTGAAGTTAGCCTACAGGGCTAATTTTTTTTTAATTTTATTGAATTAAAGCAAAAAATGTCGGAAATAGCATCAAATTTTAGAATAAATTTAGATTTGTTCGAATTGGTTACCTTTGGCACGATTATAACCTTCAAACGGCCAATGAAACCGTCACACGCTGCCCAAATGTTGTTCTGCGGTATTTTAGCCCATTCCCGTCGAAGCGCTTGCTTGAGGTTATCGATGCTTTGGTATTTTTTAGTGTCAACCTTGCTTTCCAAAATACTCCAGACACAATAGTCCAACGGATTGGTATCCGGAGATTTTTGTTGATTCCATTGTGCGATGGAAATGAAGCAAGGAACCTCATTCTGTAACCATTCTTGGGTGGCGCGTGCTGAGTGCGATGGTGCTGAGTCCTGTTGAAATGTCTAAGGTCTGTGGCCAAAATGTATGCGTGCCCAAGGCGTTAATACTCCCTCCAGAATATTTTCGGTCGATTAATACGAGCGAAGAGGGATCATCGGCTGTTATGGCGGCCCACACCATCACCATGGCCGGCGCTTGAGTTCTGGTGGCCAACCACACATTTTCAGCTGACCTCTTTTTTGTTTCTGACCTCTTTTTTGTTTCTGACCTCATTTTGTTTGTTTACAAACTGCTAGATAACGAACGTTTTCTCATCGGAGAAAACCAAATTCGGCAGTTCACCACTTTCGGCCAAGCGAAGCAACTCTTTAGCTCTTTTGAGTCTATTTTCTTTCGGTTGCGGTGTAAGTTCTTGCACTTTTTGGAATTTCAATGGCTTTACCCCGAGCTCATTTGCCGAATGGAATATTGCAATATGTTCAGCTCACGAGCCATTTTTCGGCCACTGCGACGCGGGTTCGGATTAAGTCGCTTCTTCGCTGTTCGAACCATTTCTGCTGACACAAATGATTTATTCACATTTAAATGCTGGAAAGCTCTAACGATAGTCACTTGTGGTTTTCCAGCCAAATATAAAGAAATCACACTATCGCCCTTGAATTCCATCACGAATAACTTTTTTCATGTTATTCTAACCAGACGAGAAACACATAGGTCAGAACAGGTAAGGCCATTATGACATGCATACAGTGTCTAAGTCCCTAACTCTTTCCTATGTCGTTCCTACATGAATAAAGCGCATGAAGGCCATTTTTCGTATGCTCCAGTTTAAATGGTAGTGTAAGATCGTGCCGAGATATTTTTCACATGAGGAAGGAATCTCTAGAACTGTATCCATCAATTATATAAGACCACAAACCTTTTTTGGATACTTTCAAGAATTTAAACACCCCATACAATACAAATTTATTTTATCCAATTGCACTTAAATTTCCCTCGTATATGTGCTACTTTACTTCTTTTCACCCAATCCAAATTTGTTTATTTAAATTTCATTTCAATATTGTTTAAAATATAAAAGAAGAACGTAAAACCATCCACACCTGCATAAAATAAAACAAAAACAATGCACACACGCGGTGGCAAATATATAAAAAAAATTGCCATGAAAAAACAATGTGATAAGAAAAAGAACAAAAAACTCAATAAAAAATTATAAAAGACATCACAAAAATGTGTACTCTGTTCGGATGGGGGCCAAACCAACCAGTCAGCCAGCCAGTCCACAATAAGAACAATACCAACAACAAGAATAGACATAAAAAATCGACGACGACGACAACAACAGCAGACTTGCATAAACTTTTGTTGTCAACCTCGAACTTTGTGTTATGAAATTAATATTGCACTTTTTATTGTTGTTGTTTTTTTTTAAGTCAATAAGCAGTGGGGGCTGCAGCACCTATTTTTGCTTTTGATGCATTTATTATTTAAAATGCAAGATAATATTTTTTAATTTATTGAAAAAAAAAAAAATATTAGGATTGATAAGGTAATTCTCCTGTGTGAAAGTCATTTATTATTTGAATGAGAATAACATGCTTTTTAGACATATATATATTGGTTTCAGGACTATGATATTATTTATAAGCTATATAATTATAACATCGTATTTAATTTGTTTTAAATATTTTTAATTTTTTAATACTTTTCGGAAAGATTGAATTGGTGCATTTAACTCAAACCGATATTCTACTACCTTACCTGTAATACCAAGGATCAAGTCTTATAAACATATGTGGTCTTCTAGTTTATACTTTACTAATATATTGTTCGTCATTTTTTTCCTTTCAGTTAGTTCCGGTGTGCCTCATACCATTTATAAGGGAAATCAAAAGAAATACACAAAAGAATGTATACTCATATACGATAAAAGAACTGGTGATATAACATTAGAGAAATTAAATCACAACATACAAGTGAAGAAAACGCGGTAAGTTAAAAATATTGCTGCCCCAAATGAATTTTCCAACAAACATTTCTAATCAATTTTATATTTGCAGCGAAATGACAAACAAGCCAAGTGTACCTATTCCTTCGTCAATGCCAGCAGTTGGTGGCGGTAGTGTATCAGCATCATCAACGGCATCGGCAAGCACAACAGGACCAGCGCCAAAACTAGAAAACAGTACAATGAGAATAACATCTAAAACAAAAGTTTCTACAGGCAATAGAAAAAATACCATAAGTAAGTCCATTAGAAAGTACCGCTATACTGGCTATTCAATGTTAAAATGCGTCTCTTCTTTATTAACAGTTGAATTAAAGTCTCGCAATTCACCCATGCAAGGTTCACCATCAGCCGTTGTGAATAGAAGTCCTCAGTCAGCACCGGCGTATGTTATTCCTCCTTTTGGAAATGTAACAATTGAACTTAGTTGTATTTTTTATTTTTTATAGATGGAATGCCAACAATGGCCAGGCTACTTTACCTAGTATACCCATGATTGTTGATGATGATGATTCAATGTTTAGCATTGGTGGTGGTGGTAGTGGCGGTGGTGCTGCAGCTGGTGGTGGTGGAGGGGGCGGCGGCGTTGGTTCGGGTAGCTATAATAATCTTGCTAATGTCTCTGCCTCATCATCCTCCTCGACATCCAGTCATCATAATAATTCTGGCCAAGAATTTGATTTTCAACAATTGCTCCAGGATGATATATCACCGCCTACCAAACAATCAAAACAATCATCACATCACAGTAATCAAAAACGACACAACAATCACCAACGGCAACAGCAGCAGCAACAACAACAACAGTCTTCACAAACGCAACAACTTCACCAATGGCAACAGAATCTGCAACATACACAACAACAGCAGCAGCAGCAACAGCAACAAAATCAACAAACACAAAATCCATATAATCGTTATAATGGCAATGGCAATTCCTCTTCTTCCTCATCGTTATTTAGTAATAATCATAGCAATAATCTACAGAATAGCAATCATAATAATAGTAATAACTATCATAATAACTATGATCTTGCCTCATCGCCAACATTGGCCAGTGAAGCAGCAGCTTTGGAACAGGTATGTTGACAACAAATTATCATATCTTTTAACACAACAGTGAATGTCTTAAATGGGGTCTAAATATTAGAAAAAGGGCTAGAAACACACATTATTAGGCGATTATGTTGCATAAGGAGATTGTCAACAAGAAAACCTTATAATTTGCCTGACATTTTAAGGTTTCTATTATAGACATGCCTATTTAAAAGATTCACTACAGAAAGTATTAAATATTGCAATTTTGAACAGAAAAATATACACGATTTTACAACCTCCGGCCAAGGTTGGAAATTTAAAAATGGCTCATAAAGTACCTCCCGCTTATTAGCAGAAGGCCAGTTGCACAGGCAATCTCATAATGTATTTCAATTTAATCAGCTGTTCCATAAGATTTTCATAGATTTATTAATCGTTTGAAATGTTTAACTTCAAATGGATAATTTCCATTGTCACTAAAGAGCATTTAGAGAACTGTCAAGATCGCCAAATGAAATGCCTGGATTATTATAAAATGTTTTCGCTGTTTAGATCAATCACACCAAAGTATTTCATGATATTTCATCAGCAGTGCTCCTATGTACATCCATGTAGATCCTTCATAGTTTTTTTTTTTGTTTTTTGAAAAACTTTTTTTTTTGTAGTAGAATAACACCTATAGTTCGTGGCTATGTCATGTTATTGTTGATATAGTCTTTCTAAACCTTTGTAAACATTTCACAATACGAGATTTAAATTTAGAATGGTACCACATTTGTGTAACTTGCCAACTGTTTCCTGAACATTTTTGAAAGTATGTTTCTAAGTTCTTTTTTTTTTTTTAATTGGAAAGAAGAGGTAGAGATTTCTAGCTATACGAAGGGTTGCCAATCCATGATATGCCTTTCGCAAACCCGATGATGGGATCTACGTCTGAGAAGAACGTTATAGTTTCTATATTCCACCTACCGAACAGCCTATGCCTTTTGTTTAACAGTGTGGGACATCTGCATAGATGATGTTCGATTGCGTCTACCTCTTCTTCGTTCTCACATAGTCTACAGCAGTCAGGAACACTGTTACCCCATCTGGAGGTCACATATCTGATACTGCAGTGGCCAGTCAGTATGTCTACCGCCATTCCTAGATCAGATCTACCAAGAGCTTGATCTTCTCGAATATACCGGCCAGATAGCCTTAGACACCCTACAACCATTCTCTAAGTAGCTTAAGAGTCTCGTCAATCGACTGGTAACATCTTCGAACTCATTCATCAGCCACATCATACCCCACTATGTTGCTATGTCCTGGAGCTTAATGCAATCACATGCTTCAATGTGGACTTTCTTGCAGTCAAGTATGGCTCTCGATTAAAAGGCACTTGACTTGATAGCTTTAAGGGGCCACCTGACTATCGACATATATAGTCACTGGTCATGTTATGCTACTGCATAGTTCTTTCATTGTTTCGGCTGCTTTCTTGATGCAAGAATATTCGCTGCAAATGTCATTAAGCTTATATGACTGTTTAATCAGTGGGTTAGGACAGTCTGTATTTGAAGCCAGACCATTCAAAAGAGGTTCACCACCAGCCCAGGCGTTCCTAGCAAGTATCTTATAATTGAAGTTCAAAATAGTGGACATCAGTAATTGCGTTATCTTTCGAATTATTGGTATATCGAGGACTTACCGTAGTCTTAGCGCACTCCTTGCTACTTGAAATGGAACATAATATTCAATGAAGATTGGGGAGTTCTTATGAAAACTCCGGTTGTCAGTAAAGACGCAGCTCTCTGCATGTGTTTTCTGGTCAAAAGAGGTGAGACCACTTTGACGTATATCCATTTGTGGTCTAGACCCCAAACTCTTTCCTATGACGTTTTTAACGTTCTGGTTCTGGTATGGCCACTTTGACGTACATCCAGTGTACGACTTTTGGTCTAAGCCCCCAACTCTTTCTATGAGGTTTTTACATGAAAAGAGTGCAATGAGGTCTTTTTTTTTTTGAACACTCCGCAGGTAACAAATGGTATAGTTTCTAAGAGGAGTAGAAACTAAAGGTTTTTCAGGCAGTGATTTCCTACCCTAACAGAAGCCATATATTTCTTATCTTTCTGTCCGAGTCGAATCATAGGAAAGAGTAATTGATGAAAAAAGTCGAATACTAACGCAAGTTAATTGTTTTAGGAAGTGAATCGCCTTCAACCCTGGAAAGGCCAAAACCAAGCTGGCATGTACGGGTAAAATCCCAACTATTCTATCCAAATTTTTCAGAGGGAAACAAGTTACAGATTGTAATGGCAAAGGAGAAGATGTTAGAGATTATGTAGAGATCAAACAGCTGATTTTAGACCATTCTCATGATGATGTTAGACCTTAGCTTAATAAGCACCTTTCATTTTTCCATAACCTACATAGTCGTTATTGTTATTTTCCATATGGATGTCAACAACGTCAATAGAAACTTTTTTGTTGCCGGGTGCTCCAAATTTTGTTATGACCCTGTTCAACTGTAGTCTCAAATCCTATAATGCTGCATTGTCCATGAACGTAACAACTTAAGAGTCTTCTTTAGCTATTCTATAGTCCATAGCATCTGCAGTTTTATTTCTATGGGAATAGAGAGCGTTTAAAGACGTTTTGCTGTCGGTTGGTTAATAATATTTTCCTTCTACAGTAAATCCAGATAGTCCATATTTAGTGGAATCTCTGCATCTCAGAGTCCTCGACTGCTTATCTACGATTGAGTTTGTTGGCCATAACAACATAGACTTTTGCTAAGACACAAGGCAAACAAAAGTCATCGTTTTCTCTGTTTGGGAACGTGTAGGTCATTTAATAAAGTTTTAGTATCTGTAGTTCTGGACTTGTAGAGAAGTAAAAAGGATAGAGAAAAGCGTCGAATATAGTTGTGGTTTAACTCCGGCGCCACAGGCCGTAAAGCCTTTCTGCGAAGTTGTAGAAGACTGTATGTGGAACATCATACCTTTACTTTATCCTCTTTACACGTCTTGATAATAATTCTCCCTCTTTTTGTATCCCATTTTATTTTCAGAACATTGCATCCGATTTAAGTTCATCCAGCTCAAGTTCAGATTCTGAATCAAGTGGCAGTGAGAGTGGTTCCGATTCCGATGACAGCACCGAAGATGACAGACCCACAAAGGCTGCAGCGGCACAAATGATGAATCAATTGCCTAACTTGGGTATGGCACCGTTGACGACGACATCATCTTCGCCGCAAATGCATTACAATCCACAGACAAATAACAGTCACCATCACAATAGCAATCATCTCAATAGCCACAACAGCCAGCAGCAGCATCATCAAAATTCCGAAACAAACAACTCAAATCCCCTGGCCAACTTTGGTTTCAATGGTTTTCCCAATGATCTATTGCAAAACGATTTACAATTATCATCAAATTCATCGGATGACGATTCCGATTGAATGGAACCCATTACAAGAAGAAGAAGAAGAATGTAATTCTCTGGGGGAATTTAAACCAAAACCACTCTCTCATTATACTATTGTTACACCTTTCATCATACTCACCAACACCTCAGAATAACATAGACACACACACACATACGCTCACACTCAAAACTAAAACTAAATACTTTTAGTATATTTTTGTAAAATAATAAAAGAAAGAAAAAACGAAGAAGAAGACAAAGAAAAATATATAAAACATAGATAATAATTATAAATGAAAAAAAAAAAAACAAAACTGGAAAATGTTTATAAAGCAGAAAGAAAAATTGTGAAAAGATTTAAGAAATAATGGATTATGGGCGGGAAAAAATAATTACAATTTTGTATGAAAAATTTATAGTTAATATTTTAAACAAAACAACAAAAAAATAAGAATATTGATTAAAGTTGTGTTTTTTAATAATAAAAACTTTATTTTTTATTGCAGAAAATTACTTGGTTTGTTTTTTATTTTCTTCTTTTGTTTACCTTTCTTTATCTCCAAAAGATTCTGCAACCTTCTAATGTTTTTAGTTTTTTTTTTATACAATACATCCACATATAAATATTATAAATATAAAACAAAAACAATTATATATTAAAAATATAAAAAAGTGAAGTTTAATATTAAAGTTAAATAATGGTGTATTTTTCGTTTGTTTGTTTTTATTATTATTATGAAATTTATTAATGATATTCAATTAATTATAGTAAAATGTGTTTTTATGTTCTTTAGTTTAAAGCGAAGATGAAATGAAGGAAGACGTTGCAAAACGATGATGATAATTACAATGTATAGCAGAAAAAAAAGTAAAAAATAAAGAAAAAGATTGATTTTTTCATCTTGTGTAGTTACAATTCTTAAATATTAATTCTCTGTTTTTAAATAATTTTCTTGTTGAAAAGAACCAATAATGTTGTGCTAAAGAATTCCTTTTCTCTGTTTTCTTTTCTTACTTTCAAAACACACACATACACAAATTGCCAATATTTTTTGATTCTTCTTATTCTTATATAATTATTATTATTAGTTTTTTTTTTTAATTTATTTTTTATTGAATTTAGTAAATTTAAGAGTTATGATTATAACAAAAAAAAAACAAAAACAATTAAAATTATAAAAAGCAAAGCAAAAAAGAAACCATGGACGAAGAAGTAACAAATATATGAGACCAGAAGAAATAGTGCATACAAAATCAACAAAAAAAAAAACTTTACATATTCTAATAAACATAAAAGAAAACATATATAACAACAAATAGATATGGATGTTGTTTTGCTGTGAACTCTATAAAGTAAGTACGAAATACATTTTGCACTCTTTTCGAGTACTAATTATTTGTAAACTACCATGTTGAGGGTAAAGTCGACTGATAATCTATCAAAATAAGGAAATATCAATATAATTTTGACAGTCCACTACATTCCGAAGTTTGGCGAATAGGAAGGAATTTTAAACGATTTTAGCAATTCGTGACAATTCTCTTTGGGGCAGGCATATTTTCAAATTTGGACATTTCATTATCATATAAATAATTGTCAAATCTAATCTGTACCCCCCGATATCATCATTTGCTGTCTTCACTTTCAAAATGGTGTAGGTTTTGTCTAATCTTCAAGAGCTTCTTCAAAGTGTGGAAGATTTGGATTATCTGTGGCCAGTATCTTCAAAATGTTTTGTATAAAATAGACTAGCTGGTTAATTGGAAACTCAGTAGTTGATACTAACTCATCAACATGTTGAAGTTCGTAATTTTATTGTCTGCTGTTGCTTGCTGCTTGGGCGCCGCCATCCCTGAGGGTATGCTCCCTCAATCGGAGGGTCGCATTGTTGGCGGTGTTGCCACCACCATCAGCTCCTTCCCCTGGCAAATCTCTTTGCAACGTTCCGGTTCTCACTCCTGCGGTGGTTCCGTCTACTCCGCCAAGATCATTGTCACCGCTGCCCATTGCTTGCAATCCGTTTCCGCTTCTGTCTTGAAGGTCCGTGCTGGCTCCAGCTACTGGAACTCTGGCGGCACTTTGGTTTCCGTTGCCGCTTTCAAGAACCACGAAGGTTACAGCTCCAGCACCAAGGTCAACGATATTGCTGTCATCCGCTTGTCGTCCTCCTTGACCATGAGCTCCACCATCAAGGCTATTGCTTTGGCTTCCACCGCTCCCGCTAATGGTGCTGCTGCTTCCGTCTCTGGCTGGGGTACCACCTCTTTCGGCTCTTCCTCCGTCCCATCCCAATTGCGTTATGTCAATGTTAAGATTGTTGGCCGCACCCAATGCGCTTCCTCCACCTATGGTTATGGATCTAAGATCAAGGCCAGCATGATCTGTGCCTACACTGTTGGTAAGGATTCTTGCCAAGGTGATTCTGGCGGCCCATTGGTCTCTGGTGGTGTCTTGGCCGGTGTTGTCTCCTGGGGTCAAGGTTGTGCCCAAACCAACTATCCCGGTGTGTATGCTGATGTTGCTGCCCTCCGTTCCTGGGTTGTTAGCGCTGCTTCCTCTGTTTAAGAATAAAATTACGAACTTGAATAAAATTTCGTTAATTTTTTAGAACAAATGATTGAGAATTTTTGTAATTTCTATTGCGAAAAAAGTTAATGTGGAGCAGTTCAATGTTAATAGACGGTGGAAATGGATTTTAGCATTAATCAAGAAGTCTTAAACAATTATGTGCAATTGCCAGGGTGAAATTTGGCAATTATAAATAATTGATTCAAGGGCGTACAATAATTATGTTAAAAAGGGATTTTTCCTATTTCAAGATTGAGAGATTTAAAGACTCCAAAGTATTGTTTATCTAAAAATTCAATTTTTCATGAGACTGAAGTTTGCCTGAAATTCAGAATCCTACCAAAATATTTCCGCCTATATATTCAGCAAAACTCATAGAATTTCTGTTCTCCATACATTTCGAAATGAGCGACTTTTCCGCATTATGGGTTCCACCCTTCAAACTTACGTCCAGCTTTGTGTTGTCGATTTCTTTACGATCTTATATTCTGATGTCAAATCCCAAATTTTGTAAAACTGGCATCATTCCAACCATTTCAGTCAGTTTAAAAAGCTAAGACCAGTGGTCCATTGTGTTCAATAAACAATAAAAAAAGGTATAGGGATGAAGTGCAAAGAGATCGTCAATTATTGAATAGACGTCTTTTGACATAAATTAATATTGAGTTTTAAGCATTCTGCCAAAGAAATATTTTTTAACATCAAATACGCCTAAACTATATCCAATTTCAATTACAGAAATCGAATAGGTTTCTATCACATAACTTAGAGTTTGAAAGCACTTTTTCATGCTCACGGCATCAACAGATAGGTGAGATAAAAAAACTGCAACAAACACCATAATTTTTAGTTTTTTTTTTTAATTTAATTGAATGAAAGCAAAAAATGACGGAAATGGCATCAAATTTTAGAATAAGTTTAGATTTTTTCGAATTGGTCACCTTTGGCACGAATTGTGGCCTTCACGGCCAATGAAACCGTCAAACGCTGCCCGAATGTTGCCCTGCGGTATTTTGGCCCATTCCCGGCGAAGCGATTACTTGAGGTGATCGACACTTTGGTTGTTGTTGTTGTAGCAGCTCATACATCTGTGTTCGTTCGGTTTCCATTTTCTGACTCAGTTCAATCGGGTTCTGCTTCTAAGTCCAGTCTCAAAAAGGATGCAACCTGTATGGGTTGTGTCCATAACGAGACTGGAGTTAGGTGAGTAGGCTTGGCTGGGGAGCGAAATAAGTGCAGCGTGTCATGTGGGCCTGTGCCACATGCTGGGCAGATGTTCTGCACGTCGCCGTTGATCCGGGCCCAGTAGGAATTTAGGCGGCTGCACCATCCGGATCGTAATTGAGCCAAGACTACTCGGGTTTGTCGGGGCAGCTCTCGTTCTTCAGCTGCGACGGGAGGGGGATGGTCTCCTAGCACAGTATTCACTCTATATTCTTCAATGGCTTCTGAGACCGCATTAGACTGAATACTTATCAGTCCCGCTTGATAGGCCTGTTGATCTAGAGGCTCTCTCTTATACCTCTGTACCTCTCTCTCTAGATCATGAAGGTCTTTCCTAACGTGCCTGGGCGGAGGTTGCCTATCCACAAGATGGTGATTTGGATGGCTTTGTCTATAACACCCAAGCAGGTATTGCATTGACAGCATTTTGTTATGCTGTCGCACCGGTAAGACCTTCGCCTCCTCATGTAGGTGATCGACAGGTGTCATGAGAAGGCACCCTGTTGCGGTTCTAAGGGCGGCATTCTGGCAGGACTGAACATTTTTCCACTGCGTAGCACTGACGTTAGCGGACCACACTGGAGCCGCATAGTTTACCACAGACCGGCCTATCGCGTTGTAAGAGGTCAACAAGGTTTCCTTATCAGCTCCCCAAGTACTGCCGGCCAGAGACTTGAGGACCTTGTTCCTACTTCTAATCTTGTCACAGATAGCTGTGGTATGCGCGGACGACTTAAAGAGGCTATCGAATGTGACCCCTAATACCTTGGGGTAGTTGGTGGTCGGAATAATAGAACCATCGACCTGCACATTCAAGGATAGCCCCATCTCCGCAGTCCATGTGGTGAAAAGTGTGGCCGTCGACTTAGTGGCGGATATCTTCATATTCCTCGCAGTGAAAAAGGCGGTAAGATCAAAAAGGTAAGCGTTCAACCGATCGCAAATGTCATCAATAATGGGTCCGGACGCCACGAGCGTACAATCATCTGCGTACGTTATAATCTCTATGCCGTCTGGAGGGCGTGGAATTTCAGAAAGGTAGAGGTTAAACAGTTCCGGAGATATCACCCCACCTTGGGGAACTCCCTGTTTAACTCTACGGATGCTCGACTTCTTGTTTCTGAATTCCACGTACGACTGGCGTCCACACATGTAGTTTACTATCCAACGTTTCAAACTTGGCCGGAGGGTGGTGCGTTCAATGTCCTCGAACAGTGTGGCATGATTGACTGTATCAAAGGCTTTTGATAAATCAAGTGCCACCATAACTGTTCTATCGCACGGCCTGTTCTGGTTGAGACCTCTACTGACATGTGTGGAAATGGCGTGTAAAGCTGTTGTTGTGCTATGCAATTTCCGGAATCCATGTTGATGATCGGCTACTGGGAAACACTCTCTTATGCTGGGGAGGAGTAAAGCCTCAAGCGTCTTTGCTACTGGTGACAAAAGTGATATCGGCCTGTATGAATCACTTTTGCTGGCATCCTTGCCTGGCTTCAGTAGCGGGACCACCCTGCCCATTTTCCAGGCATCGGGAACTACTAGGGTGGCTAACGACAGATTGAGAAGCTTTGTAAGATACTCAACTCCTGGTTCATCCAGTTGCTTCAACATCACCATTGAGATTCCGTCAGGACCAAGCGCATTGGATGACTTTGCGCTTCTGATGACCTGTGCAACATCTGCCAACGTAAATTGTGGTGGTACCTCCTCGGCTGGAAGGGATCGTACACGGCGTAGTATCCTTCTCTTCACCCTGTCACTCTCGGGGTGCTCTACAAACTGCCGGTTAAAATAACACGCGCACCTCTTCGGATCTGTCACTTCTACGCCGTTAAATGAGACAGATGTCCGATCGTCCTTTTTTCCAGGGTTCGAAAGCGACTTAACCGTTGCCCACAATTTACTCGTTCCGGTACCGATGTTGCAATGCTTCAGATGTTCTAACCACTTTTTCCGCTTATGCTCACCTACTAACCTGTTTACCTCCAGAGTAAGTTCCCTGACTCTGGGGTTATTAGGGTTAGTACGGCGAAGCTCATCTCGCTCGTTTGCTAATCCCGCTGCCTCTGCTGGGAAATTTGGTCTTATTTCAGGTATTCGACCAGCAGGTATATAGCGAGCGGCTGCAGCTTTGATGATGTCCCGGAAACACCTATCTGCTACCTGAACATCAGATGGGTTGGGCAGTTCTCTGAAGCGGCGATTGGTATACTCTCTGAATTCTTGCCAATTAGCTTTCCCGTGGTTAAGGAAAGTGCGGCGTTCAGAGTCGATGAAGTCGGGTGGTCTATTGATGGCGATAATAATGGGGAGGTGGTCTGAGCCTAGAGAAATGACTGATTGCCAAGTTACATCATTCGTCAGACCTGGGGACACGATGGATATGTCCGGAGAACTGTGGCAGTCTCCCCTTATTCTGGTGGGCGCGTCCTCATTCACTGTGCCAAACGTGGAGCTATCGATTTGCTCAGCCAGCGCCATGCCTCTCTGGTCATTACCTAGGACGGAATGCCATAATTCATGATGGGCATTGAAATCCCCTAGCACCAGACGGTTATTGCCTACCAGTAGTGAACTGATATTAGGCATATAACGTGGGGCACAGCTATTTAACGGCGGAATGTACACGTTGAGCACCTCTACCTCGGCGGTTCCACACTTGACCGCTACCCCCATACATTCCATGTACGGGTCACTAGAGTCAAGCTCAGAGAGATAGGTCTGTACTGGACAGAGTGGTGCAATAGGAACGCTAATCCTCCACCTCTGGAGCGATCCTTCCTCAGTACGTTGTATCCATCACAACTTTGAAGCCTGCAGGTGGTACTCAGCTTCGTCTCCTGGATCGCTGCGACCTTGATGTTCTTCCGACTCATAAAGCTTACAATTTCGTTAATCTTACCTCTGAGACCATCACAATTAAATTAGAGAAATGATGCATTATCCGAACCTGAACAGCAATGTGTGGCGTCAACTGCTGCGTAGATTGCTGTTGAGGAGATTGCGGGAGAGTCTCATATTGCGACGACGATGAGGACGCCGAAGATGAAGACTCACTGGGGTCTACATTGACGCAGCAGGAAGCAATGTAGTCCCTATCGCTATACTCCTGTATCCGGTTTAGGCCGGAACAATTCCGGAAATGCACCCACTCCATGCATCCGTTGCATCTCACCGAAACCGATCTGTGGTGGATGCGATTACAACAAACGGAGCAGAACCATGTTCCGGGGTTGGTCTCGATCCCGGCTCGGACCAAGAGAATACGGAGCAAACATTCCGGGTAATGTTGCTCCCACATCAGAAAAATGGACGAACACGAACATGTATTTGCTGGGTTGGCGGCCCCTGGTCGGAGAAATGTGCCTCCGAGTCAATCCGGTACATAGAACCGGCCGCCGTGGGATTGCGACACTTTGGTATTTTTTAGTGCCAACCTTGCTTTTCAAAATACTCCCGACACAATAGTCCAAGGGATAGGTATGCGGAAATTTTGGTGGCCATTGTGAAACGAGGAGCCTCATTTTGTAACCATTCTTGGGTGGCGCGTCCTGAGTGCGATGGTGCTGAGTCCTGTTGAAATGTCCAAGGTCTGCGGCCAAAATGTTTGCTTGCCCAAGGCTTTATCGCGAATATTTTCGCGATAATATTCGGCATTTATTTTGATGCCACGGTCGAATAATACGAGCGGAGAGCGACCATCAGCTGTTATGGCGGCCCAAACCATCATCATGACCGGCGCTTGAGTTCTGGTGGCCAACCGAAGGTGCACATTTTCAGCTGACTTCTTAGGCAAGTAAACACGATTATTTTGTTTGTTTACAAACTGCTGGACAACGAATGTTTTCTCATCGGATAAAACCAAATTCGGCAGTTCACCACTTTCGGCCAAGCTTTCTTTTGCGGTGTTAGTTCTTGCACTTTTTGAAATTTCAATTGCTGTACCCCGATTTTAACAGCTGTCGGACGAGTGGCTTAGAAATGACAGCAGCCTGAAGTTGGTTGCCGTTTTTCACCTCACCCTGTAAACCCCAAAACATTTTCATTTATTTGATTAATTAATACAAGTGAAATTAGTTCGAATAACAAATGGAAATATTCAAATCGAATTTCAGATTTGAATAGATAAATTCGAGATTCAATAGGAATTATCTAATAGCATTTTTCCATTGGCGAAGACTTGCAAAAATTGTGGTATTTTGTTCCAATTCAATCCCACCCAATTCTCTTTTCTCTCACAAATCTCACTTTTCACGTAAAGTTCCCATTTGCGAATTGAGACCCAAATCATCACCAACTGACAATCCATTTCAAATTTACTTCCAAAATATATTCCCCAAATATTCTTCATTAAATTCCCCCCAAATCATTTTCATTTACTCGATTAATTCGCATTGGCAGCGCGTCATTTCTTTTATCGCTCAATTATAAACATAGCCCATCCATATGGACACCAATACATGTGTGCGGCGCTCCCCACATGTAGTCATCACACAACAACACACAGAGAGATAAATTAGTCAAGTATTTTTAGTTGAAGCACACAGCAGTTCTTGGCAGAAAGAGAGGTAAAAATTCCTATCCTCAACTCTAGATTTTTCTAAAAAATATTAGTTAAAATTATTATAAACTAAATCATAAAAATATTCCCGTAGGACGACAAACATGGCTGAATTAACTGGTCTAACCAATTCCGAGGCTGATGAATTATGTAAACCAGCAGATCCCTCTACTAAGGTAAGGACAGAAATGTTTTGGGTGCAAATGAAATGCCGGTAATTATGGTATCATCCCCTCCTAGGATTTCCTTTTCCAACAAACCATGTATCGCATTAAGGATCCACGCAAATCCCTGCCATTTTACAGCGGCGTCTTGGGTATGACTCTATTGCAAAAATTGGATTTCCCAGCTGCCCAATTTTCACTGTATTTCATGGGGTGAGTATGGAAGAGCGTTACATGTGGAATCATATATTTTTCATATTTAATTGTTATTCCATTCAATAGCTATGAAAATCCCGCCGAAGTTCCCAAGGATACCAAGGAACGTACCAAATGGGCCATGAGCCGCAAGGCTACTGTGGAATTAACACAGTAAGTATAACAATTTATAACAATAGATGTACATTGGCGATTAATAGAATGGAATACCAAAGTGGATGGGATTCACAAGCAGCTCTTGGTTCTCCCATACCTTCAAAGTTTGATCGCACTGTTTTATCATTGAAATGTTGACAACATTTGTAGACTTTGTACCAGTCAATTACATTATCTTTATCGGATAGTGTGTGGGCCGGTCACATTTTGATATCAAATGTAAAGGGGTAAAGGGAAACAAGGGGTAAATAGTTGGGAAACCGATACAGAATATAGCATTGTTTAAGCTATCAGGCTTTCTATCTGCTACAAATAATCGGAAACTCTTTTAAGCAATCGCGGAATACAAAAGGAAACCAATTATAAACATATTGGAGAAATTTAAAGCTATAGTAGTTTAAAAATAAATGCCTTCCGAACATGCTGTTCTTAGACAAAGGACTGATACCATCCAATAACTATCATCTTCAAATGGAGAAAATTTGAAAAAGTGATGTATATAATTTGATCCTGGAGATGTATATAATTTTCGCCTGCTATATTCGCCGGCAGTCTGTCAATGATGTTATTTAGAAATAAAAGGCGTTGGCCGTAATATCCAAACGAATTTGGGGTTCTAAGTAAGAAAAAAAAAACAATATAATTAAAGAGGTATATATAAGGCTCTATTTGAATTAATCATCCTTATTAAGATTCCACTGATTTTCTGTTTTGGATGTCCCAGCCACATTTCAAACCTAATTTCCGGATCTATTTGTTATAATGTTGTTGTTGTTGTAGCAGTGTTATCATGCTCTGTTATTTATATACTGATTAATCCGGTTCTTCCTCAATGTCCTCTGGACGGAGTTGGGTAGGCATGGCTGGACAATTAAACGGATGCAGCGTATTGTGCGGGCCTGTATCTCACGCTGGGCAGGCGTTCCGCACATCTTCGCCAATTTGTGCCCAATACGAATTGAGACGGCTGCACCATCCTGAACGTAGCTGAGCCAAAACTACCCTGGTTTGTCTAGACAGACGACGTTCTTCGGCTGCAATGGATGGGGGTGGACTCCGAGAATGACATTCATACTGTAATTATTAACTACTTCTGCGACTGCATCAGTATGCATGCTATTCAGACACGCTTGATAGGCCTCATGATCAAGCGGCTCTATCTTATATCGCTCGACCTCTCACTCTAGATTATGCAGGTCCTTCCTGACACGCCTGGATGGGGGAGTTCTGTCACCATATGGTGGTTAGGATGACTCCCACGATAACACCCAAGCAGGCACTGCAACGAAAGAATATGATTATGCTGACGTAAGGGAAGAACCTTCGTCTCCTCATGTAAATGGTCCACAGGAGTCATGAGGAGGCCCTGTTGCAGTTCTCAGGGTGGCATTCTGACAGGTATGAATAATTTTCCACTGCGTTGCACTCGTATTTGCAGACCACACTGAAGCCACAGACCGACCTATCGCTTTATAAGAGGTCAACAAGGTTTCCTTATCCGCACCCCAAGTGCTGCCGGCTAGCGCCTTGAGGACCTTGTTCCTACTTTTCATTTTATAGCAGATAGCTGTGGCTTGCGCGGAAGACTTGAACATGCTAAGAATTTGGGGTAGTTGGTGGTCGAAATTATGTGCCCCTCGACCTGCACATTCAGCTGTGTTCTCATCTTCGCAGTCCTCTCATACAGTGGTATCTTCTAGTTATATGTATTTGCAAAGTTTCAAATTAAATTAGTAATAATAGGGCATTTCAGATTCTTAGAGGTCATAAAGCTAGCATTAGAAAAATGTTTAAGACACATAGTTCCACTATTTTTTCATATTATACCCAATTTCCAACCGAATCATTCTGGGCGTTCAGCAGTTAAAATTCCCCACCACGAAAATGTTTTAATATGCACCCCCCTTTTAAAATCTCTAGCCACATTTTCCAGCTGTAATTTAATATTTGGATAAGTTTATGGATGTGAATGACATGTTCTGAAATAAATCTCAATATGGGTCCATGTTTAGAAATAGCTCTAATAGCTTTGTTAGTTCTGAGTTACTATAAAAGCATTACTATTTTGAAGGTCCTTACTACACTTTTTAACTATTAATGGCTTTGCCATGGTGGATGGAATATGAAGTTTACAGTACGTTTATATATATGAGGGTTAACCCACTGGATTTGGATTTAAATTGTCATTTCCATTACTTTTACTTCAAATAAATCCTCTCAAAGTAGGTTAACCCTACAAAAAGTTCAAACGTAAACATGGCATTAGTTCAGAGCTTACCCCCCGTTTTTAATCGTATTTTATATTATTTAGCAAATATTCAAACAAATTTTGAACTGAAATAATTGTTCGTCCAAATTAATGCCACAGTGGATAATTATCAACTCTAGAGGTGCCTGACGACAGGAAAGCTACTGAAATAAGTTATAGCACATTTTAAATTTGCAATGACAGTGGTCTTCATGTTTTAACTCTGAAGGAGTGCCGTGATGTCTTACAAACTGCAGTAAAATTGTATTAAAATTGTACCTAGATCTATATAAAAAATCTAACATATTCCTAATTCGAGAATGTCAATTTACAACTAATTCCTTTTTTTAATGGACGATTAGACACATTTTACTTAAAAATTTAAAAATGACTCACCTACATGTTCTATTGTCCTTTATGAGTTTAAGTTTCTAACCATTTTTTTTTTCATTTTATTTCAGCAACTGGGGAACTGAAAATGATCCCGATCAAAGCTATCACAACGGTAACTCTGATCCACGTGGTTTTGGGCACATTGGCATTATGGTACCCGATGTATATGCCGCCTGTAAGAGGTAAGTTTGTACGGTAACATATTTTAATCACATCATCTAACAAAAACTTTCCTTTCACCATTACCATTTCAGATTCGAAGAATTGGGTGTAGAATTCGTCAAGAAACCTGATGATGGTCGAATGAAGGGTTTGGCTTTCATTAAGGATCCCGATGGTTATTGGATTGAAATCTTCAATGCCAATACTGTGTGCAATTAAATTGCATTGTACGGTAGAAAATGCAACCGGAAATAAAATATGTCGTTAACCTTGTACATACAACTGCATATTCATGTTTTTTTGTAAAGAACATTTCTTTATTTACACAATAACAATTAAGAAGAGAGACTAAATAAACAAAATTCAAAATTTTCTTAATTATTAGCTGTCATGCTATGATTTCGTTTATTCATTCGACAAGGCTTCATGCTAAAGTGGTGGTGTCAACCTTTAGTTCAGCAGACTAAATTGAAAATAAACAAAAATACTACCACAGGCAGGACTTTGGTTTACTTTCATGTCCGTTGTCATTCATCGCGCATTGTATTTGCATTGAAGTTAATAATTGTTTACATGCTCAACAACAACTCTTTAACATTCAAATAGGTGACAACAAGGTGCAAGCGTGAAGTAGTTCAATTGATAAGGCAGGTATGATGGAATTGAGAGCATTTTTATTTACTTGATGGGACTATGATGCTACTATTGATATTTAATTATTAAGTACAAAGTATTATTTGGGATCCCTCAACAGTAGTTCTAAGTTTCATTCATACCATAAGATACTCCGTATATTTATTTAAGAAATAAGTTAAATACAAAATGGTGCTATTATTTTCACCATCAATGTGAAATTGAAAATGAAGGGAATATATGGTTAATTGAGACAAACTTTACCACAAAGGTAATTGAACGTGGTATGGACGATATGATGATGCCCTACTGTAAGAGTAGTACCCTGGAAAATGTTCTTTCGAGTAATAGAGAAATCCTCTGTTCCAGAACCTGCAAGAATCTACTATATTTGCAATATCGTAGTAGATATTTTTACATTCTTGCTGTTCTGGAACAGACCAAATATTGTCAATAGCAATGTTTTCCATCAAAAGTGTGTTAGAAAACAACATTTTCTATAGAACATTTTATGTATAGCAATATTTTCCAAACATAAAAAAGTCCTATCAGCAGTACATCTTATCGATAACAATATTTTCGATAGAACCTGATAGAGATGACAATATTTTCTGTACAAAATCTTATGGATAACAATATTTCAAAAAAATATCGATGGTAATATATAATATATATAATATGATCTCGATAACACACTTTTCTTTAGAAAATGTTGTCGATAACAATGTTTTCCTTAAAAAATGTTGTCGATAACATTATTTTTTATAGAAAATCTAGTCGATAACAATATTTTCTATAGAAATTTTTTCTCGATAACACTATTTTCTATAGAAAATAATGTCGATAATATTTACTATAGAAAATGTAATCAATAACAATATTTTCTATAGAAAATGAAATCGATAACAATATTATGTTTAGGAAATATTGTTGATAACAATATTATGTTTAGGCAATGTTGTCGATAACAACATTTTCTATAGAAAATCTAGTCGGTAGCAATATCTTCTATAGAAAATGTTGTCGTAACAATATTTTCTGTGGAAAATCGTGACGATAACAATATTTTCGATAGAAAATCGTGCCGATAACAATATCTTCTATAGAAAATCTTGTCAACAACAATATTTTTCATAAAAAATGTTGTCGATAACAGTATTTTCTATAGAAAATGTTGTCGATAACAGTACGTTTTAGAGATAATGTTGTCGATAACAGGAATTTTTTGTCGATAACAATATTTTTTCTATATAGAAAATGTTGTCGATAACAAAATTTTCTATTGGAAATTGTATCGATAACAATAGTTGTCTATAGAGAATGTGGTTGATAACAATGTTTTCTATTGAAAATTTCATTTTGTTTCAAAAACTATAATTTCTATTAAAAGCAGTTTTTTCCGTAAATCTTGTTGATAGCAATGTTCTCTATAGAACATCATGACGATGACAATATTTCTTTAAAATTATGTAGCGTATCGACAAAGTGGTCACTCCTATCCCCACATACATATGTATGTTATTTGTATTTGCCTGTGTAGGTGTTATGTCCTCCTAACTATTTTTCTCACGCTATTGAAAAATTTGTGCGAATATTTTGTTTACAAAGGCGACGACCACCAAAATATGCAAGGACATTTTATTGAGAGCACTTAAAACTTGAAAATTTGATAATGATGGCTAACAGAACCATTCGAAACTTTGAACTGTAAAGTTGCAATCGAAGGAAAACACTCGAAATATACCGCCGCTCAAGAAATTATAATGGAAATATCTGAGTCCAGCCGCTGTATATACATTGTCAGTAAGATATTGGGTTTGGCTCCATTTTCCGTAAAGAAGACTGATAAAGGAACCTATTTGGTAGAGAAGAGCATTCCCTTTATTATTTATGCATCAGTTTTAACATCGGCCATGTGTAAGTAAAGAGATGATTTGAAAGGAATATTTCTAACCATTTCCATTAGAAAATTAATTCAAATTGATCTAATTTCAAATAATGGTATCCACATATCATAATTAACAAAATAAATTATTAACGCTCTATATGTTCTATAGAAAATGTGATCGATACCGCCCTTTGCTAACCAAACCATATTTCTTTCCAGCTTTTTTAACATATCGTGGACTACTTTTTGACGCTACCTCTAAAATCCCACTAAGGTATGATGCTCTCAAGCTTTCATTGAAGGAGTTCTATACAATTTAAATCAATCTCCTTTTTTATCCCATAGGCAGTCGTTTCGTATGAAATCTGTAACCTCTAAAGCCGTTACCACCATGGATGTGTCGGTTATTGTAATGGCAGTAACAGCTGGTGCTCTCTGTGGCATATTCGGTTATAATCCAACCAAAGAACTGAATGTACGTTTACAAAAAGTAAGGTTATGGGTTGAAATGACAAAAGTTTAAATATCAATATCATCAATTTTAATTACAAAGGTGGATGCCTCTATAAATGGCGATAGGAAACGTGATACACTAAAGGCCATAATGTTGCTCATTTTACCAGTGATTTCTATAACAATTTTAATGTGTGAGTAAAGTATCGACTCTAAACATTGTCGATAACAATATTTTCTAAAGAAAGCAATGTCCATAAGAATATTTTCTATAGAAAATGTTGTCGATAACAATATTTTCTATAGAAAATGTTGTCGATAACAATATTTTGTATCGAAATTTTGTCGATAACAATATTTTGTATCGAAATTTTGTCGATAACAATATTTTCTATAGAAAATGTTGTCGATAACAATATTTTGTATCGAAATTTTGTCGATAACAATATTTTGTATAGAAAATTTTGTCGATTACAATATTTTGTATAGAAAATTTTGTCGATACCAATATTTTCTATAGAAAATTTTGTCGATACCAATATTTTCTATAGAAAATTTTGTCGATACCAATATTTTCTATAGAAAATTTTGTCGATACCAATATTTTCTATAGAAAATTTTGTCGATAACAATATTTTCTATAGAAAATTTTGTCGATAACAATATTTTCTATAGAAAATTTTGTCTATAACATTATTTTCTATAGGAAATTTTGTCAATAACAATATTTTCTATAGAAAATTTTGTCAATAACAATATTTTCTATAGAAAATTTTGTCAATAACAATATTTTCTATAGAAAATTTTGTCAATAACAATATTTTCTATAGAAAACAATCTCGACAACAACCCTTTCTATAGAAAACAATGTCGAAAATGATATTTTCTATAAAAAAAAACATTGTCGATAACAGTATCATCTATAGAAATTTGTGTTAATGTTTTCCCTTAATTCACCTGACGATGTTATGTTTTTGTATTTGCAATCAGTTTTTGATATTTGGACTTGGTTAAGTTTTGCCCAGACAGCAAATACCGAAGGTGAAAATACAGGTAGATATTTGTTCTTCCTATTATCTTTATCTTGCAATTGTAATAGTATCTTAATATCTCAGATCTAAATACTCTATGGTATATACCATTCTATGGACTCTATTACATTTTAACGTGTTTACATGTGACCTTTGCCAACACCACCTTGAGCCTGAGTAGACGATTCAAAACGTTAAATGTTACGCTAATAATGTCGTTTTTAACAACTGAATCAAAGAAGGAAATTCAAATGCAAAACATACCGAAGATAACACCGGTTTTACCAACCAAGGGACATGAACCTCCATTACATATAAGTTTTACAAAAATTACCTCCGAACTTCACCAGGCACCAGGTAGACATTTGGGCATTATCATAAAAATGTGTGATTGATTAACTAATTCATTCTAGAAAAGAATAAATCGTTGCTGTTGAAGATGTTGGCAGAATGCCACGAGTCCTTGGGAAAGTGTGTGGCATTGGTTTCCAGGTGAGGGAACGAAGGTTTCAATTGTACCAACTTTTCGTAATTCTATCTTCTTTTAGCTCATATGGAATGGCTGTTTTATTCATACTTCTCTCCTGTTTCCTACACCTGGTGGCCACTTCATATTTCCTATTCATGGAATTTTTGGAAAAGAACAGTGGCGGATTTAGTTGGCTCCAAGTCATGTGGATAACTTTTCATACATCACGCCTGCTTTTGGTTGTCGAGCCGTGTCATCGTGTAAGTGCCGAATCAAGTAAAACTATTCATATTATTTGTGAAATAGAAAGAGGTATTCATGATTCGATACTGGCAGAAGAGGTGAGGGGAATCCAGTATTTATTTTATGTTTCGAAATATATATTTTCAATACTGTAAACAATAGGTTAACAAATTCTGGCAACAACAGTTGGTTTTCAAAGATCGATTTTCTGCATGTGGTCTGGTAATGGTCGATCGCAGTCTTCTGACATCCGTAAGTTTAGTCAACTTTTTATTATTTCATCAACAAATTTAGTTATTTGTTAAATATTTTTTCATACAGATATTCTCGGCCATCGCAACGTATTTGGTTATAATCATACAATTCCAGAAAAGTGACGGCTAAAGCCAGCTATCGACTTGCTTCTACGACGAGAATTTATTGTACTTTTATGATAAAATGAAATAATTTATTAAATGTTTGAGTATAAGAAATATTATATTTTATATCTCAATAAAAATTATAGTTGTGGAACAGAACATTCAGAAATCTACTGGATTTGCAGATTATTTTTCGATATTATAAAGGAAAACCTTAAAAAACACTGTTTGTCGACATATTTTTCTACAGAAAATGTTGTTATTGTCAAGATTTTCCATAGATCAACAAGTTTTTCCATAGAAAATATTGTTATCGACAATGTTTTCTATAGAAAATATTCTTATCGACAATGTTTTCTATAGAAAATATTATTATCGACAATGTTTTCTATAGAAAATATTCTTATCGACAATGTTTTCTATAGAAAATATTCTTATCGGCAATGTTTTCTATAGAAAATATTCTTATCGACAATGTTTTCTATAGAAAATATTCTTATAGACAATGTTTTCTATAGAAAATATTCTTATCGACAATGTTTTCTATAGAAAATATTCTTATCGACAATGTTTTCTATAGAAAATATTCTTATCGACAATGTTTTCTATAGAAAATATTCTTATCGACAATGTTTTCTATAGAAAATATTCTTATCGACAATGTTTTCTATAGAAAATATTCTTATCGACAATATTTCTAAAGAAAATATTGTTATCGACAATGTTTTCTATAGAAAATATTGTTATCGACAATGTTTTCTATAGAAAATATTGTTATCGACAATGTTTTCTATAGAAAATATTGTTATCGACAATGTTTTCTATAGAAAATATTGTTATCGACAATGTTTTCTATAGAAAATATTGTTATCGACAAGATTTTCTATAGAAAATATTGTTATCGACAAGATTTTCTATAGAAAGTGTAGTTATCGACACTATTTTTAAGGAATATATTGTTATCGAAGGTAATACAGAAAATATTTATATAAGTACCGCCTATTGTATAGAAAATATTGTTATCGACAATGTTTTCTATAGAAAATATTGTTATCGACAATGTTTTCTATAGAAAATGTTGTTATCGACAAGATTTTGTATAGAAAATATTGTTATCGACAAGATTTTGTATAGAAAATATTGTTATCGACAAGATTTTGTATAGAAAATATTGTTATCGACAAGATTTTGTATAGAAAATATTGTTATCGACAAGATTTTCTATAGAAAATATTGTTATCGACAAGATTTTCTATAGAAAATATTGTTATCGACAATGTTTTCTATAGAAAATATTCTTATCGACAATGTTTTCTATAGAAAATATTCTTATCGACAATGTTTTCTATAGAAAATATTCTTATCGACAATGTTTTCTATAGAAAATATTCTTATCGACAATGTTTTCTATAGAAAATATTCTTATCGACAATGTTTTCTATAGAAAATATTCTTATCGACAATATTTCTAAAGAAAATATTGTTATCGACAATGTTTTCTATAGAAAATATTGTTATCGACAATGTTTTCTATAGAAAATATTGTTATCGACAATGTTTTCTATAGAAAATATTGTTATCGACAATGTTTTATATAGAAAATATTGTTATCGACAATGTTTTCTATAGAAAATATTGTTATCGACAATGTTTTCTATAGAAAATATTGTTATCGACAATGTTTTCTATAGAAAATATTGTTATCGACAAGATTTTGTATAGAAAATATTGTTATCGACAAGATTTTCTATAGAAAATATTGTTATCGACACTGTTTTCTATAGAAAATATTGTTATCGACACTGTTTTCTTAGAAAATATTGTTATCGACACTGTTTTCTTAGAAAATATTGTTATCGACACTGTTTTCTATAGAAAATATTGTTATCGACACTGTTTTCTATAGAAAATATTGTTATCGACACTGTTTTCTATAGAAAATATGGTTATCGACACTGTTTTCTATAGAAAATATGGTTATCGACACTGTTTTCTATAGAAAATATTGTTATCGACACTGTTTTCTATAGAAAATATTGTTATCGAAACTGTTTTCAATAGAAAATATTGTCATCGACAAGATTTTCTATGTTTTTGTAGAAAATGTTGTCGATAACAATATTTTCTATAGAAAATGTTGTCGATAACAATATATGTTGTCGATAACAATATTTTCTATAGAAAGCATTGTCGATAACAATATTTCCTATAGAAAGCATTGTCGATAACAAGCATTTTCTATAGAAAGTATTGTTATGGTCAGTACATTTTCTATATTTGTTTGTTATCAACATATTCTATTACTATTAAATTTGATTTCCATAGAAAATGTGTCCGTAAAATGTCTTAATTAATAATAACAACAACATCCTCCGTATTCCTTGAATTATCTTGCCAATTTAATATAAATGTGATTTTAATTAAGGGTTGTTAGGATGAACAGGACACATGTACGCCCCCTCAAATGAATCCAATCGAAATGAAACAATAAATTCAAGCCACAACATTCAAATAAAAGCAACACCAGACAACTGTTGTGTTTGCGGTAAAACAACTATGGGTCAAGTTGAATTGCAACCTGAGGATATTGATGAGTCGATTACAGCTTTACAAGGAGCCCTCAAGAGAACCTGGTGTGCATTTTGTGCTACCACAAGTATACATGGCTTGAAATATGCTCGTGATGAAGATACCAACAAATATATTAGGTGAGGTCCGCAACATTGACAATTTAAAGGTTTTGATGGAATAATGTGTCTTCTTTAGGTTTCTTTGGTACCTCATTACATTGATCATGTTCATTTGTGCCATAATTATGGTATTCACCTTCTATGTGGACTATCGCAGCAATCCCACACGCATGAATGTGGAAAACGACCATGCTCCCATTGATAGCATTCTGTTTCCGGCCACCACCATTTGCCCGGAGGTCTTGTATAATTTGGAAAAATCGAAGGCATATTTCGAAACATTGTAGGAGGCTATTGGAATATTTGTGTTACATATGTTTTATTAAAGATCCTTAAATTTTGCAGAACTATACCGGAAAACACCACGGTGGCGGAACTTACATCAATTCTGGGCATCGATTATGGTTTCATGTACGACGATCGTCATTATGAGCCTCGAGAGCTGCAACTATTCGATGCGCTATTGGAACTGAATGATCTGAATATTTTGGACTTTGCCCGAAATATGGCTTGGAATTGCAATGACCTGATATACAAATGTAGGTTCAAGGATACCATTGTTCCCTGTGACAGTTTATTTCAAGTTGCCTCAACATTTAATGGATTCTGCTGTGCTTTTAATTTGAATCAGACATAGTAAGTATTGAGAAAATTTAGAAAATGGTGTTGAAGGATGGTCGTCTCAGTTGCAATACAATGTTTTAACTTGAGGTTTCAGAAACTAAAAAAAAACTAAAGATCTATTAGAGATATAGGATATTTTTAATCATTTTTATTCCTTTTATCCCATTCTCCTCACTTTAAAGCACCTTGAAATTCACGAATCAACTGGCCGCAGGAGGTTTTCGCAACGGCCTCTCAATGATGCTGTATTATAACGATTCCATGTACGATAAAATAAGTTCATATTCGATTGGCTTTAAAGTCATGATCCAAGAGACCAATGGATTTCCCAGTGCCCATTCGGCAATTAAATTTATTCCATTAAATGAAGAGGTCTTCATATCTGTGCGCCCCATCGAGACATTTTGTTCGAAAGCTGTAAAAGATTTGACCTTTGACGAACGTCAATGCACGTTTCCCTATGAACGGCCGCTCACTTATTTCCCCAGTTACGTGGGGGCGAATTGTGAGCTCAATTGTCGCGTTACAATGATGGTGAAATTCTGTGGCTGCCATACTTATTTCTTCTATAGCAATCGGACAAATGATCGAATTTGTACCTATAAGGATATTCCGTGTTTGGTGGGGAACTTTGGTAAGTTGAAAACATTATGAATTTCCAAAACCAACATTTTATATTTCCAGCTGACATCATTGGCCGCATAAAGAAACATCAGTGTCCTTGCGTAAATAGTTGTGAAAAGGTCGAATTTAATGTCCAGGCTACCAGTTCGACCTTGGATTTGGATATACAATCCATTGATGATTTCTAGTAAGTATTTAATTTTGAATTCTCTAAATCAGCATTACCTTGCTCATCATTCTTTGTTTCTAAATTTCAGTACCGGCTTGAAAAAGGATTATTCCGTTGTCCACATTTACATGAATTCCGAGGTGTACCGGCGGGTGCGCCACGATTTACTATCGAATATGGTAACATTGGTCTGTAAGTACCATTAGTATTAGTATAAGTATCATTAGTCGAACGTTTCATTAAACAGAAACTGGAGTTATAGGAAAGAAGAGACGAGGTTTAATTTCAAATTCAATTTTTCGGGATTGTTACTTGTTATTCTGAAGCTAAAGTTCAGCAGAATTAACTGCGAAATTCCTCATTTTCCATTGCTCCCGATCCTATAAAAGTGTGAGTCAGACTGGCTACTTTCTTAGCTAAAGCATTCTGATTGGTTTCATTCCAAAATCAGGAGAGAGTCTTGGAGTTTCCGGTAAATATTCGAAGTTACATAAGAATATTGATTTAGGACTAATGCAGTTTCAAAACGCTCGCTAACGACAATCGGTCGGCGCCCAACGTAATGTGACACTTTAATTCCTACACCTGTCTAACTCGAGGTTCAATGTTTGTTTTCTTGAACTAAAAAGTAAAGCTAATTGGTGGAAAATTTCTGATTTCCCTCCGGAAAAAACATGTTGATGATGGATTAATAGTCGGGTATCTTAGCACTTAGTCATAAATATACTTATATACGACACCATCGTAACATCTGCTGGGGCAGAGTTTTACAAGATAGAGCTTAAATAAAATGGGTAAAAGAAATACGCCTTGCATTTTTCAGGCAACAACTCGGTATTTAACGATGACTTGTCGGCTATTCAGATAATTACATTTGGGAGAAAATTCATCTGGGAGGAGAGCAATATACATGCTTAAACGTTTGCCACATGTGGAAGAAGATCGAACGGGCGATAAAAAGTTTGTTTAGACCTGCTCTGTGATTATATATATTTTGGTTATTATTAGGTTATACAGGTTACTATTAAAGATGATATTGCTATCAGAGATTCCTGTTATTTTAAAACCAAATATACCATTAAACTAAATCTGCTTCGAGTTGATATTACAATCATTTTGAGAGCCTGTGTTTCAAAGGTAGAACATTCATTTAGGAACTCAGTTTTATCATCAGCTGACCAGACATGGTATGAGGAGAGATTCTCAGGTGACATCAGTTCTGGCAAACACTTTGTTAAATTTAGGAGATATTCTATCTCAAGCTCCGGGATGAGTAAATCGGCTATCAAAGCCGCCGTCATAATATGCTAACCTGTAGAAAGCCAATCAATTTTATACATAATTCGTTAAGTTGACAATCCCTGGACGAAGCGTAGATGCGATTATCATTGGAATGATCTATATAATACATTCAGCATTTCAATATTAGATTAATGATGACTTTATAAACATTCCGTTTTGAATTTAGGTTTTTTAATTTTTTTCTCTATTTTCAGCAAACTTGGGCAGTGCTTTTAGTTTATTTGTCGGCATGAGCATGGTATCCGCTGTCGAAATTGTGTACTATTTTACAGTTATATTGAAGAAATTCTACCGACAGGAAAAAAATGCCAGAGAGAAATTATTTATTCGAAGACAACGGGAGCTCGAAGATCGAGAGGAGAATGAAAATAATGAATCTTAAAATAATTTGGCGCGTTATTTAGTTTCTCAACTTTATTGTATATTTGACATATCTCAAATAAAACAAAGAAAGCTTAAGCACTTAGAATTAGAACTAATTTATCTAAAATTTTTTTTAGAAAGGAGGAAGAATTGGTTACTGCTCACAGTATTGTTAAATACACTTGACATTTTCCACAACCCAGACTGGCAATTGCACATTAAAATTATAAGATCAGCAAATTCGGAAGAAGTGTTAAATTGGTCAATTTTTTATTCATTAAAATTAATGGTATATTTTATTGTATATTTTATGGTATAAACATGGTAAAATTAAAAAGGTAAAAGGTAAATTTCAAATGAGCATCTCCATCTTTGCATTTTTTGTAATTTACCTTGTCAAATGTCACTGCCATGGCACAACTAAATTAAGGTAACCTCATTTCAAATAATAATATTCAGCTCTGCATTTTCTCTAATTTACTTTGTCAAATTTAATTTCATTGAACACAGGTAATCCTCCTGGTAGAACTTAGAAGGTAAAGTCATGTAATCATATGTTTACATTTTTTTTAAATTTATACATTTGACAACATCTCATTATCAAAATTTATATTCATAAATCCATTCAATACACACAAAATCAGAGATGGGGACTGTTTTTTATGCATTGAAATTTGGCAAGGTAAATTACAGAAAATGCAGAGCTGGGAGTGCTTATTTAAAATGAGGTTACCTTTATTTCATTGTACCGTGCTATCACTTCTCTTTCTTCTTCTTGTATATGTACAATGGATTGGTAAATCAACATTTTGATAATGAGATGTTGTCAAAAGTATAATATTGAAAAAAAAAAAATGCAGACATATGATTGCATGACGTTACAGTACGTTTACATATAAATGGGTTAACCCACCAGATTTGGATTAAAATTGTCATACCCATTACTTATACTTCAAATAAATCCTCTTGAAGTAGGTTAACCCTGCAAAAAGGTCTAACGTAAACATAGCATAACCTTCCTTATTTTACCATGTTCACTGCATAGAAATGAGGTTCCCATCTCTGATTTGTGTATACACAGTGGATTTATAAGTAAAAATTATGACAATGAGATGTTGTCAAATAAACAATTTTGAAAAAAAAAAAAATAAAAATATGATTGCATGACTACCTTCTTAATTCTACCATGGGTATATGTTAAGTATACGTTTTTTTCCTTAGGGACTTACAATGAAATTTGATATAGAATATTTCATCCTTTGACATTTTCTCCGAAAAAAATCAAATACCAAGGGAGATTATGACTTAAAACTTGTCGAATTAGCAGGAAAAACGTATGGTATATAAAAAACAAACGCTGTTTTTATAAAAGCAGCAATAATGGGATTAAGCCTGACCATTTTGCAACACCAAAATACTATGGTATCCCCATGGTACAATAAAAAGGTAAGGTAGAGCTCCCAGCTGATTACATTTATTTACTTAGTGTGCCCGACTTCTGCCAATTTTGTGTATGTATTTTTTGTTTTGAATAATAAAAACAAAATATTTTCAAAATCAATGATTGAAAGAAAATTAAATTGCGGGGCGCGCATTAATAATATTAACCGGATTTGCCATGCAATTGAAAGATTGGGCACTTAGGATCATAGTTTTGAAAGAACATCTAGGAATTTCATTCATATTTAGCGCTATTTGGCTCATTTTAGAAATGAACAAAAATACCAACAACAACTTGTTGTCTAAAATTTTGAATAATTCTGACAGCCTCAGGGCTGTATTTCTGTATTTTTACGAAGCTGTTCTACCTTCTTATTGTACCATGTTATCCAGAACAAACATGTCAACCCTGTTCTATTAATAGGCGTGGTTTCTAGGAAGAAAATTAAAATAGAGACTTTTTGAATTTAATTGAAATAGATCCTCTTTTCTTCGATAATTTTGTAGAATAAATTGACTTGCTAAGATTCTGAAAAATGACCAAAGGGTTTCTTTGGAGACTTACTTGATTGAGGTTTGAAATTTTCGACAAAAATAATGTAAAATGATTCCAAGGAATCTTAATCCGAAAATTTAAAAAAATTTTATTATTTTTCTTTGAATTCCCAACGCCAACCTTTGTCACCTCAAACAACCGTGGAGCGGTATACCCTATATGTAGGCATCGCGCACTCACCATGTTCCATACTAAAGCGGAAAATTAGTAGGCATTGAAATACCAGCTACAGGAAATATTACATGAGTCGATTGAAAAATAACATTTTATATCAAACTACTCCTCATTTAATTTTACATCAATACCTGTACCAAAATGTACAATATTATTCAAAAGGTTGAAATCAATATACATTCTACTGATAATACATGCTAAATCTAAACGGGATATAAAATCTAAAATAAGAATTAATAAGGGAGCCAGAATACACATTTATTCATTCATTCATTCTCTTGAACATATTACGTCTACTTTTTAATGTAGACATTTGAATTAATTTAAGCCTGCCAGTATTGGGTAAAGCAAAGCCATTATTCTAATGAAAATCTTTGCGATATAAACTTTCTATCTTCAGAATCAACTGGATTTCTCCCGCAATCATTTTTTGTCTTCCGAAACAGAAGACTATATTTTAAAACTTCTTCAAATCATTAATTTTTACTTTCGTCTACAAGTCTTGTTGGCGCTCGTTGTTTTTGAAATGTTTGGATCTTTGGATCTTTGGATCTTATTTAACGATTTTATTATTACTTTGAAAATCTCCAACTCCAATTTCCTTTTTAGTATTTGCTGTTCTATGCACTTATGCATGCTTCTTTGTTCGCTTTCAAACGACCAATAAAAGGTGTTTTTCAATGTCTGTGCCAGCATTGACGTCAAATAGTTGATTTAACCATAACGTGTCATGTCTTGTCCGCATTTCAAACCTTAAATTATATCCTAGGCTTGGTAATTAATTGCTAATTTGTTTTTCTAATGTCTAGCATTTTATATTGCATTAAATGATTTCGTAAACCCTTTGCGAGCTGTATGAGTTGTTGCGGGATATTGGAGACATCAAAAATTGCAACTTTCAACAAATTAAGGACTTCAAAATATTTCAGGTCTAAATAGAATGTATGAATGTGATCATTTTTTGACATCGGAATGCTAGAGACTATAGAAGACAATTGCAAAGTCAATGTCATGTTATGTGAAATTGATCGTGGTTGTGCTGCTAACCACAGTTTTCATTTTGTGTTGCGAAATTTTCACAGCCACAGTACAGTAAATATCGAAGACGATGAAGAACATTTAAAACACTGAATTAAACACATCTGCATTGCGCCTAAAAGTATGCACACCTCCATACCTCATAGCTCTAACCATTCTTGTAGTGGAAAATACAGGTACAGGGTATTATGTCTTTGTAATAAAACATTGAAATTGGAGATAATCGGTTCAAATTCATCTATAGCTCCCATATATCTTCTTCGTCCGATTTCCTTTTTGTGCACCAAATGTGTAGGATTAACCCAAACTGGATGGGTTTTGGCACAACAACCGAACTTACTTTAGAAGGAAATACGTCGAATTTGATAAATATCAGTTAGATACCATAAATATATTCAACCTGACATAAAACCTATTTTTTGGGGCAAAGTGTCAAATGAAGATATATTATATATCAAATTTCATTATAAGTTACTGAACAAGTAAAAAAACATTAAGTTCGGCCGGGCCAAACTTTTAATACCCTCCACCTTAGGGTAAAGGAGACATTAGAAGAAATGTGACAACAACCATTAAAATGTCGAATATTGGGAGGTATCGTTATATGGGAGCTATACCAAATCGTGGACCTACACATGCAATGTTTCGCCAACGGAGCTAGAACCCATTATGACCTACAAATACAAATTTTTAGATCAATCCGCGAAAATATGTGGCAAACATTATCAAAATACCGAATATCGGGAGGTACCGTTATATGGGGGCTATACCAAAGCGTGGACCTATAATTACAATGACTCGCCACAGGAAAAAATGTGTCAAAAATCATCAAAATATCGAATATTGGGAGGTACCGTTATATGGGGACTATACCAAAACGTGGGCCTATACATACAATGTTTCGCCACACGAACTAGGACCCATTACGACCCACAAATACCAATTTTTAGACAAATCAGTGCAAAAATGTGGCAAAAACCATCAAAATACCGAATATCGGGAGGTACCGTTATATGGGGGCTATACCAAATCGTGGACCCATACATGCAATGTTTCGCAACCGGAGCTGGAACCCATTAGACAAATCAGTGAAAAAAATGTGGCAAAAATAATCAAAATACCGAATATCGGGAGGTACCTTTATATGGGGGCTATACCTAAACGTGGATCTATACATGCAATGTTTTGCCACACGTACAGGGACCTGTTATGACCTACAAATACCAATTTTCAGAGAAATCCGTGAAAAAAATGTGGCATAAATCATCAAAATACCGAGGAGGTACCATTATATGGGGACTATACCAGAACGTGAACCGATATATCTCATTTTCAATACCAACCATCCTAGACACAATACAAATTGCTCAGACAGACGGACATCGTTAAATCGACTTAGAATTTTATGCTGATTATGAATATATATATACACTTTATGGGGTCTACGACGAATATTTAAGGATGTTACAAACGGAATGACAAAGTTTATATACCCTCATTTCTAAGGTGGAGGGTATAAAAATGATAATTTGTAAACTCTAGAACCGGCAAGAATCTACTTGTTTTGCAAAATATATTTCGATATCATAAAGGGAAAATCAGTTATCGTAGTAAAAAGTTTTACATTCTTGCATTTCTGGAACATACCAAATATGTACCATAAAAAATATGTGGTCTGTCCCGGAACTTGCAAGAATCTACTAGTTTTGAAATTTTTTCGATATCATAAATAGAAAATTAGTTATCGTAGTGAAAACTTTTATATTCCTTCAGTTTTGGAACATTTCTAGAATTCTTTCAGTTTTTTATATTCGACAACTTTTTCCGAATTCCCTGCAAATTTGCTAAAACTGTCACTGTGCACAGACAGTTTGGGTGATGGAAATTCCACGTGGATTTGATAGCAGTCGATTTGTAGATCATACCCATTAAAAATTTTTTGGGTTCCCAGCCCAAACTTTTTAAGGCCTTTATAATACTTTCTGAATTTCGCAAAAACTAGGGTAGAGTAATGAATCTTTTAATTCCATCTAGCTTTATTTGTACAAAATATACCCACTTTTCGAATAGCCCACATATAAGAGTATATCCCGGTTTCTAGTATAATTTACGTGTTAGTTATATTTCTTAATTAATTTGGCATTTTTTTTTAAATTGTAGAAACACAGATACACCCATTTTCTATACCTTTCATTCTAGACATAATAAAAATATCGAAGCTCTGTGATGTCCCGATTTTAATAGAGAGAACGGATTCAGGCAAAAATAGTGAGAATTAAATGTTAAATTAAAGGATATAATAATTGAATAAGCAATTCCCTTAACGTATAAATATATACTTTAACCCCAGTTTATCAATACGTTACTTCGTAAATATTTAGAACCCTTTCCAGGGTTAAAGAACCCACACTTCCCTTTCATCAACTTGTTTTCGTTATTTCTATACGTGTGAATTACTATCCACTTCATAACTCGCCAAAACATGCAATTTGCAAAAATGACAAGGATACATATGCATTTACAAAAAAAAAAAACAAAAACCCCGGACATTCGGCTGGCCATTGCATGCACAAGTAATTGAGGTCTTTAGTTGAAGAGTGGCGAAAGTAAATAAAACAAATAGGCGGCACAGCATTTAGAAGATCTGAGGGAAAAATAAAAAATAAATAAAAATGGAAATATCTGAACCCTCCATAAGTATTCTCTTTCTGAGTAAAGTTTTTACCTTGGCTCCATATTCGTTGCAAAGGAATGCCAAGGGGATTTATATTATCGACAAAAGTGTACCGTTTATATTCTATTCCTCATCCATAATTCTGTTGTTGGGTAAGCACTTAAAACCTGAGACGTAATGTGTTGCTTCGCCAACTTGAAAAAATCAAGTTCATGACTGCAAAATGTGAAAGAATTGGAATACGTTTAGGGCTAATAATGTATCAAACACCGTTTAAGGTTAGATTTCACATCGTGTTAGTGTCATATGTAAAGTGATTTTTTAACATTTTGTGATTAACAAATTGGAAGCAGAATTTTAAGCGGGCCCAACAACTTTTTGAAACATATATTGTACAATCCTTTATAAGATACATACAGGGTGAGATGAAAAAACGGCAACCAACTTCAGACTGCTGTCATTTCTAAGCCACTCGTCCGATAGCTGTTAAACTTATTCCAGTGACACCTCATTATATTGTTTACAAGCGTACAAAAGCATTTTCGTGAGAATTTTTCAGAAAAAAAGTTTTTCGTTATGGAATTGAAGCGTGATAGTGTGATTTTTTTATATTTGGCTGGAAAACCACAAGTGGATATCGTTTGAGCACTCCAGCATTTAAATGTGAATAAATCTTTTGTGTCTCGTACCATCGCTCGTTACTGTGATACTGGTAGTGTAGCCCGACGTCAAGGAAGTGGACGGAAGAAAACAGCAACATCAGCAGAAATGGTTCGAAAAGTAAAGAAGCGACTTGATCGAAACTCGTGAGCTGAATATATCACAATACTCCATTCGGCACATATTGAAAAATGAGCTCGGGGTTAATCCATTGAAATTCCAAAAAGTGCAAGAACTTACACCGCAACAGAAAGAAAATAGACTCAAAAGAGGTAAAGAGTTGCTTCGCGTGGTGAACTGATGAGAAAACATTCGTTTTCCAGAAATTTGTAAACAAACAAAATTATCGTGTTTACTTGCCAAAGAGGTCAGCTGAAAATGTGCACCTCCGGTTGGCCACCAGAACTCAAGCGCCGGCCATGGTGTTGGTGTGGGCCGCTATAACAGCCAATGGCCGCTCTCCGCTCGTATTAAACGACCATGACATCGGAATAAATGCCGAATATTATCGCGAAAATATTCTGGAGAGTGTATTAAAGCTTTGGGCACGCAAACATTTTGGTCGCAGACCTTGGACATTCCAACAGGACTCAGCACCATCGCACTCAGCACGCGCCACCCAAGAATGGTTACGCTTCATTTCCAGCCCACAATGGCCACCAAAATCTCCGGATACCAATCCGTTGGACTATTGTGTCTGGAGTTTTTTTTTGGAAAGTAAAGTTGGCACTAAAAATACCAAAGTGTCGATCTCCTCAAGCAAGCGCTTTGACGGGAATGGGCCAAAACACCGCAGAGCAACATTCGGGCAGCGTATGACGGTTTCATTGTCGGTATGAAGGCCACAATTCGTGCCAAAAGTGACCAATTCGAACAAATCTAAACTTATTCTAAAATTTGATGCTATCTCCGACATTTTTTGCTTTCATTCAATAAAATTTAAAACAAATTTAAAATTATGGCGGTTGACTTTGTTGCAGTTTTTTTTATTTTTTCTCACCCTGTATACTATGAATATATTAACATATACTACACTATAAAGTGTTTCCTTTCAGAAAACAAATTATTTGAATCGCCTTAAAGTATGCTATAAAATTTTTTAACAGAAATGTAGAAAAAGTAGCTTTACGAAGGATTGTAGCATTATGTGTATATCAGTGTTTAGACTTGTAGCATACATGTGCCCAAAACAAAGCGACGTATTACGTCTTATAAATTCGCTTACAATTTCCATTTTTTCAGTTTTCCTTACCTATCGCGGATTGTTATATGATGCCAACTCAAACGTCCCCATAAGGTTGGTTCTTGATTAAGCATTTTTGAATATTTTTCTCCCGAAACATTTAATTTAAAAACTTTTTAGAATGAAAACGGCAACATCAAAAATCGTTACAGCCCTAGATGTATCGGTGGTGGTCTTGGCTTCCGTTGCTGGCGTATTTTGTGGAATTGTTGGCTTAAATACAACCCGAGAACTTAATGGACGTTTACGCAAAGTTAGTAACTCCCCTGAATATTATGTATTTGTGCCTGTTATGTATGTTCTATAAAATTTTAGGTTGATGAAACCATCAATGGATTTAAGGATGTGAAACGAGAACGTACAAAGGCTTTAATCTTACTAATAGTTCCGATGTTATCTATAACGATTTTACTGGGTAAGAACTACAAAATTCCGCTTAAGTCAAGACTTAGAAATCCTTATAGTAAGTAAATTTTGCTGTGTCCGTTCTGTTTTATCTCAAACTGGTTCTGCTTCCAAGCCCAAAACGATACTGGAGTTAGTTAATTAGGTTTGGTCCGGATCTTAACTACTCCAAAACTACTGGCTGGGGTTTGCCGGGGTTTTTGGGGATTAGGAGGGTTCTGTTTATAACACCCAAGCATTAACTGCATTTTATTTTGTTATCGCACCAGTAAGACCTTCGCCTCCTCATATAGATGGGCGGCAGGTGTCCTGTTGCGGTTCGAAGGATGGCGTTCTGTCTGGACTGAATATTTTTCCACTGTGTAGCACTAACGTTGGCGGACCACGGGGGAAACGCATATCTTACCACAGCCCGGCCTACCGTGTTTTAAAGGGGTCTCCAAAGTTTCCTTATCGGGACCCCAAGTGTTCCCGACATGAACCTTGAGAACCTTGTTTCTACTTCTAATTTTATCGCAGATTGCTGTGGTTGTTAATCTGAAGGATCAGCTTCTGAAGGATACGCTTCTATTCATCATGTCATGGTTGGAATGACCCCAATAGTAAAACAAATCCAGGCTTAACCCAGGCAGACCTCATAAGATCGTCTGTCTGTTATATAAGTGCTGCTTACTAACGATTTGAGAACATTTTTTCTTTTAAAATTCGTTTAATACCTTCGCAAACGAATTAAATATGCTGTTAAGAGTTATCGCTAGGATTTTCAATAATTAGTTGTCAGTGGGTTTCTCTGTCCATCGAAATGAATTACATTCTCATCTCCGCAGTACATGTGGCAAAAAGTATGTCAATTTATTTAGTTGTTAATTTTCATAGTCAGAGCTTATCCCAGTGATAATGTTTCAATGGCAAAATTCATGCCAGGAAGGGAAAACTAGTTTTGAGAAAACAAAAAATAATCCTCTTCGGTTTTACTTGTTTTTTTTTTTTTGCATACTCTCTCCACAAGATTTTTTCTTAAATTTTAAATTTGTGGAGTTCCAGAAAATCAGATGTTAAACAATCTCGCTTTAAGCGATTTGGTAGTTCCGCAAACTACTAAAGGTTTTAGTGCGATATTCAATCCAGAGGTCCTATAACCGCCGCATTGCACTACGAATCCCCCTGATCCTTGCTGCAGTCCTCTGAAGCAGTGGTTTCTGAACTCTTAACCAAATCAGCTCTTTATTAGGTAGAAGTTGTAAATAAGGTAATGTCATAGTGATTCCTTTCAATGTCCTGTGAGAGAGACAGAACCTTTTTACTTGGAGGACAGTGAATCCTATATTTGATCCAGAATTCTAAATGACAAACTCACTTTTTTTAGAGCAAGATTGTCAGTTCGAGACTCTATTTCAATACCATTTCCCCAATCACACCCTACACTAAAAAATATGCGATGATGTTTGGATGACTATAACATCTATGCTATCTATGCTGCATTTAGCCAACTGTGGATGTGCCGTCATAGAATTGAGTATTGTCTGAAATTGGCTTTGTTTTGTACTGATCCTCTATTATGGAAAGCAGGATATATTCAATTTTTCATTCCTTTTCTATCACCTCTTAGTATTTGTCGTGTAACTCATAAAATATTTAGTCGATTCAAATATATCTGCCTGTTTGGTGATATCACGATACCGTCCACATTATTTGACATACAGAAATTGGACACAATAATTTATATTGTGTCGGTATCGGTCCACCTTTTTGTTTAGTCCTCATGTAACGGTTGCTCCCTACATATTATACTTTTCAACGGAATTGTCTATTGCAGCAGAACAATGTCTATTGCAGCAGAACAATGTCTGCATAGGTCCCTGTTTATTTATAGCGCCATGTAACGGTACCGACTTATATTCCTCACTTATTACGATTTAGGCCACATTTTCTATCGGATTTATTTAAAATTCGGTATTTTAACGTTCGGTATTCAAATACTGTTCATATTGGTCCGCGGTTTGTATATAACGATACCGTCCGATATTTGGCATTTCGATGATATTAGCCACATTTTCACATGTGGTATTTATCACTTACAAAACATAACAAACCTATATGGGTTTTTCGTTTTGGTATGGCCCCCGTATAACGGTTCACCCACTTTATTATTTATTGAATACGTTATAGAATACTCTTTAGCTAATGGTTAAATACCCTCGAAAGCTTGTTTGAATTTCAACAACTTTTTCCCGTTTTTTATTCGTATCCGTTAGCTAAATATCAAAGGAGTAGAAATGAAAACTTTCGAGCGACTTTGAGTATGATTATTCTATAAGTTGAGTATGATTATTCTATACTCGGATATGGCAATCCGAAAGTAGGAAATGGGTTTGCGAATTCGAGTTAGTTGGTATGAAAAATTCGCATCCGAAATATTTTACATTCGAATCGGGTTACATAGTAATCCCCCAGAATTAACTTGATTCTTTGCAGTATGTTTCGAAGTTACTCTTCGATTGGTTCTTCTGGAACTTTCTATCCAAAATATTTATAATTTTTGATACATTTCATTTCCAGGCCTCGATATTGGGACATGGCTTCGGAAGGCAGCCTCCATGAAAGTTCACGAAGATGATGAGACAGGTTAGAAGAGACTTTGGTTTTGACTCACAATGATTTACTTAAATATTTTAAAAAAGACATTGAACCAATTTCAGATATGAACATCAAATGGTACATACCGTTTTATAGTTTGTATTTGGTACTCACCGTTCTGCATATATCTTTTGCCAATACTACCTTTGGGCTGTGGAAACGTTTTAAAGGTCTGAATAGATTGTTGAGGACCTCATTTTTGCCGCATGTTCGTGTTAAGGAACCACAAATGACGAAAAATCCAAAAATTACCACCGTCAAAGCGAATTCTACAGTGAGCAGTTCCTCGTCGCTGGCTTCGGAAAGTTATCAACAAAATGGTTGAAATTGAGGTTGGGTTGCGATTTAAGAACATGTTATTAATTGTTTCTATTTTAGGTAAAACCAAATCGTTGCTTTTAAAACTGATGGCCGAGACTCATGAATCCTTGGGCAAATGTGTTAAATTGGTTTCGAGGTAAAACTATATTCAAGTCAATTGTAATGTAAATTGCCTCACTAACTCTTTGCCCTTACATTAGCTATTACGGCATGGCAATCTTGATTATTCTCGTCTCCTGTTTCCTACATCTCTTGGCCACTGCATATTTCCTGCTAATTGAACTCTTTAGCAATAAGGATAGCGGCTATGTTTGGCTTCAAGTCATGTGGATTATTTTCCATGCCCTACGTTTGTTGGCTGTTGTGGAGCCCTGTCATCGTTTAACGGTGGAGTCTACCCAAACCATCCATATAATTTGTGAAATCGAGCGAACGATTCATGATTCCATCTTGGCCGAGGAGGTAAATCTACTTTTATTGGAAAAAGTCAATAGCTGACAAGTTTTACTTTTCAGGTTAAAAAGTTTTGGCAACAGCTATTGGTGTATGAACCTCGATTTTCAGCCTGTGGTCTGTGTATGGTGGATCGAAATATTTTAGCAGCGGTAAGTTAATTTTTTCTCAGATTTCTCTTTTTTTAATATTCAGGCTGTACTTGAAAAGAAGCGATGTTTTTTGATATTTTTTTTTTACTTTTAGATGTTCTCTGGTATTGCCACATATCTGGTCATTCTTATTCAGTTTCAAAAAACGAATGGTTAATTCAAAAACTTTTTATTTCATATCAATACTAATTTCTAACGCTTTTATAAACAATAAAATCTACTTATAATAAAATGCATTGTTTGTTGTTCTAACTGCTCGGCTGAAATCGAAAGATCTTTTCTAAAGAATAAAGTTTAATGGAAGGAAAAAACAGACAATATAGGTTATTTTTTTGCTTTGGATTGGATATGGTCAGTCAATGAAAGTTCGCCAACCTAATTAGCTTTCATTAGACCTCCAAAAAACTCGGCCAAATTCGAGTCGAGAATGAAACTAGCCCAAATTTAGTTCTGTGAGTAATTCCTTTGCCTTTGTTCGTTTTCGAGTGAGAGTATTATTCGCTCGAAATTGAACAGATTCTACCTTTGTCGAGTACCCTTTTCTCTCTCCCACTCTCTGTCTCTCTCTCTCTCTCTCTATTTCGAACATTTTCACTCTCACTCCTATTATTAACTTCGTGTAAAACTCGTGCCATTAGAGCACTTCCGCTCGCATGTGTGTTTCTCACGTGAGTGAAAAGGAGTAAATCTGGCGTTCAATCATGAGTCTATTGAAAATACACTTGGAGTTTTGAACTTTAAACGAATGAATGGGTCCAATTTGGACCACCGTGGACAAATTTTTCTCTGTATGTTATTATACACCGAACGAACTTGAGTCAGGATGGAACGCGGAAGCTGCCGTTCATGACTGAAGAAGGATTTACATAAAAGACATAATTGCATCTACATATAGCCGTTTTCGGATTCGCCATCGAAGATCGGTTGACGTTTTGGATGCCTTAACCTACGAAGTCCTGGCGGTTGTGTGAGGAGGTGGATCTTCCATTAAGGGATCACTGCGGGGATGACTCGTCAGAAGGATCTGTATATGCATAATATTCTGGCTCTTTATCCACTGTGGACGTTGGGACACAACTCACTGCAACTAGAAGTGCATTGTTTGCAACTTTCTCCACTGGATGTCGTCAAGGAATGAAGTCCAGACCAGATATATCATCGTCTCCTTATCTTTCACTTTCAGGTTAATGTAAGTGGTGAGAAGAAGAGAAGTCTGTTCCCACAATTTAAGGATTATGGATTGTGGGAATAAAATTTACCCGAATGACTTTGTAGGGGTTATTGTTAGATTGCACTCCCGAATTTTTGAATCGTCAATATTAACTCCTAATCCTATAATGGAACAGTCATCAGCACACGACACGTTTGAGACATCTGCTTGTGATATTAGGAGCTTTGCATTTTGGCTTCGGAATTCAACGTTGTCAAAAACTGTAACCTTGAGGCAAGTCAAAGCGTGGTATGACTTGGGAGTGTGAAAGTCTGATTAGAAGCTGTCACATTAATCTCTCTTCTGGCCCTCGCCTCTGGTTTTAGTATTCGTAATTTTAGTACTGATCATCTGAAAAGCTTATTTTTTCGTGATGCACCTCCCTATAGCCATGTTAGGATGCGCTCTCCATGGACGAAAGTAAAAACGGAAGGGAGTTTGTGTCGTTGGAAATAACTTATGCAACTTTCTATATGTTTGCATAATGCCACCTGGACCAAAGGATTTGGATGGTTTGCCTTTGGAGATTCTTTATATCTGGATAACAATCTGCTTGGCTCTGTTCTACAACAATAAATGTTCAATAATTTGATGGCACAACTGAACAGTGATATCACAATAACGAAGGATTTCCAACCTCTTCTCAGGACCTAGGGCATCTGCTTCGTCACATAGATATTTTCTATTAATTGGGTTAATATTTGTTTCCTTTTTTTCTTTATTTCTTGAAACGTCTGAAGAAACCGATTCTACTGATTGAACTGCTGTATTAGTTCGCCGATATCCAGATGATTAAAAATTAATATTGCAAAAAAGCATAACTGATATACCATACCGTTGCTTGTTATCCTCTTTATCTGAGCTTTCCTAAAAAAACGCTATTAGGATTGAACTTACCTTTTTAATGATGTCCCAAGTAAGGCAGTACTTTTTATTGTGAACAAAATTTGATTGTGTTTTGTTTGGAAAATAATCTCCATCTCCGGCATTTGAAGATAAAAATCCTTTATTAACATTTATGATCGATTATTACATTTAAATTGGATGTGCTCCTTTGCCGTAAATATTTCATTTGTTGTATTGTAATATTTTTGGTTGAAAAAGTAGTCCTTTTCTTTTCTTGTTTTGTGTTTTTTTTTTTTCTTCTTCTTCTAGTGGAATTTTCTTGGTAGGATTCATATTGTTATACTAAACATAAAATCTATATTATAAACCTTGTAGTGTTTGTGTTCTAATTTTATAAACAAATATTTCTTGATCCAGTGAATATGGTTATGTATGTAAAGGGAAATAATAAGAGTAATAAAAACGTGTAAAAAAAGAAATAACGTACGAGGATGACTTTGAACGTATTAAAATCCTTTTTGATATTGTTTAGATTCTAAACGTTGCTGCAGCATTTCCAATTGTCGTTTAGCCTCACATTGAGGGAAATTATTTAAGTCATAATATTGGGGTGCCAGAGTCAGTAACCATTCAGCTGCGGGTGGGAAGAAAAGAGTAAATCAATATTGTGATAGTTTTAGTTGTCTTCTACTTACGTTTAACATCTGTAACGGTACGTATATAGTTTTTGGTGGTCAATACAAATTCATTGTATATAACCCAATCGGGTTTATGATCCAAACATGTTGAGGGATGTAATTGTACAATTTGATTATCTTTAATGGTTAAATAGTGGCCGGTACGTTCCAAGTGGGCCACTTGCATAAAGAAGCCCTGGACCAAGGCCTTACGTATGTTCACATAATAATCCTTTGATGTGAACTCTGTGCTGCTACGTTTCAAACAGAAACGATCCATAATACGGGCCAATTGTTGTCTAACATTGTCGGCCGATTTCAGAGAACGGAAATTTATGAAGTTCTCATAACACCAATTGGGATCCTCACTGCCTGTTTAAAATAAATATATAAAAAAAATCGTTATTGGATTTTTATCCAAACCTTAAAAGAAATTGTAAACTACTTACTTTGTTTAAAGGCATGATAGACATTCAGCAAGGTCAAGTGATCACCATCGATGTGAGCGAAACGCATCTTAGCCTCATCAGCTGCCTTTTTGGCCTCATTTGGTCTTACAAAGCATTGCGGAACTATTGTGGTGTTTTCATATTTGATTTGTTTTTGGTTTTGAGTCCAAAGATAAAACAAAAGAAGAGCATTTTGTGTTTGGGGTATGTGTTGTTGGCATTATTTTGATTCATTCGATGACAAAATGTATACCATTTACCCGTTCACACAAGTTGTTTGTACATTTAAGATATTATCTTTTTGATATTTTGTGGTTTAAAATATATAATTTTTGTTCAATTATAGGCATATACAAGTTTATGAAATATCCAACAGTGATGACACAGAACAACAATACACATCTAATGAATTCTATAGTTGTACAAAGGAAGTTGTAACATCAGCATTTTTAGCATAGAGTTTCAAGAACGTTTTCAAATTCAAAAAGAAGACCACAAAGATGGCTATTTTTAATGGATCCACAAGTAATTATATTGATTTAATCGGAAAGTAATTGTTGTAAATTAGGAATTACTTGTGGCTTTTTAACGCTATTGAAACTGTGATTCAGTGGAGTATGCAAAAGACAAATTCTCTAACCCCAATTGTAAAAAAATAAAATTTTTCTTTTGCACATTTGCTTAATATTAAGCTAACTAAGATAATCAACGAGAACATTTGAAACATTTTGAGTCAAAATGAGAAAATTTAATTCACATGTAAATTTGAAGGAAACCGATTAATTACCTATTTCGTTTAAAATATATAAATGTAGTTTTCAAGACTTTACCATTGTCGAATGAGAATTTAAATTATTATTAAGACCCAACCTTTAAATTGGTGGCTACAAAATAAAAACGTTTCCTCGATCTACTCTTCGAAGAAGGAAAATTAGATGTTTAGTCCAAGGACGTTAAGTTGTGAAAATCGTTCAGATATTTCAGAGGGGAAATCGGCGCCCTCTTAATTGACTGCAATTCTCTCTCTAAACTGGTAGGGGCGACATCTGATATCTAAAATATAATAGTCCGATTCTGTCGGATAAGCCTAGCCATTAAGAGAAGACCTAAACAGGGAGAAGCTGGTTGTAATCTTCCCCCATATATAAAGTGGAGTGGCATTGATTCCACGGGACATAATTTGATATGAAGTAAACGAAAAAGATACATTTATTTCCCTTTCCAGCAGCTTCTTCATAAGAAACTTTGATAAATGATAAATTTTCGTAGAGTTTGGAATTTGGAGTTTTTTGAAATTTGTAAAATACGTTTGGAATTTTTTAAATATGAGACTTATACTAAAATAACGATACTATAATGTCCCAATTTTCCTTAATGCTGGCTTCTATCTACCGAGATCTCTAATGGGCATTCAATATATACTAAGTCTTGGCCAAAGTAACATGAGCCGAGGTGGTTCACATCCAATCGAATGTTACACAAAGCAACTAGACTTAAACAAATATGCCCCATAATTCTCAACCTCAAAAAGATTTCCTAACTGACTTCATCGAACAAAAGAAAAAATTCATAAAATAATCTCACCCGACAGCATAGCCGTTATTGATAGAATTTCATTTGAACAATTGTGTTGGCAACTGGCAATAAGCATTTTGGCCAATTGAGGATCCAATGGAAATTCTGACATAACAGCACCCAAATCTGTTAGATTGCCATCGTCGTCTAATGCAGCCAAATAATTCAAGAGTTCCAATGCACGCATAAGGGTTTCCGGAGCTGGAGGATCCATAAAATCAAAATGGACCAAATCGTCGATACCAAGTTTTTTCAATTGCAAAACCACAGTGCCTAAAAATGAAATAAAAAGGTTTAAAAAATTAATTCCTTAAGATAGCTCATAAAAGTCATGCTTACCCAAATTCGATCTCAAAATTTCCGGATATGTATTATCTTGCATTTCATTCTTGTAGGCCTTCTCAGTATAGAGACGGAAACATTTACCCGGCTTGGTACGACCGGCACGA